GCTCGCTTAAGAGTTTATTTCACTAGTGTTAGCTTTCCTTATAGCTCTCTCTCATAGTAATTTTTAACAATAAGTGATTTCTCATGTACCAAAGGTGTAAAAAAAAAAAAAAAAAAAAAAAAAAAAAAAAAAAAAAAAAAAAAAAAAAAAAAAAAAAAAAAAAAAAAAAAAAAAAAAAAAAAAAAAAAAAAAAAAAAAAAAAAAAAAAAAAAAAAAAAAAAAAAAAAAAAAAAAAAAAAAAAAAAAAAAAAAAAAAAAAAAAAAAAAAAAAAAAAAAAAAAAAAAAAAAAAAAAAAAAAAAAAAAAAAAAAAAAAAAAAAAAAAAAAAAAAAAAAAAAAAAAAAAAAAAAAAAAAAAAAAAAAAAAAAAAAAAAAAAAAAAAAAAAAAAAAAAAAAAAAAAAAAAAAAAAAAAAAAAAAAAAAAAAAAAAAAAAAAAAAAAAAAAAAAAAAAAAAAAAAAAAAAAAAAAAAAAAAAAAAAAAAAAAAAAACTCATGTGGTCCAGTCTAATTTAAGTAGCTGACACTGTGTCATGTCGTTATTGACTCATATATATCAATCGGATTCAGAGCACATGCTGGTCAAGTGTGAATGTAGAGAAAAACAGAACATCATAAGTTAGGGAAGAAAAAAAAAATCTTAAATATATGTTGACTGCAGACCTAGGTCTTGGTCTTCTTTCTACTTATTTAATATTCAATAATATTTAATCGTTGATATGATGATCCCTGTATTTTAGCCCGTAGGGCAGGTTGAAGATCAGTAGCGCTCCTCGACTTTTCATTATAAGACCATAAGTCACATTTTGAAAGTATTGATTTTAAAGTAATTTTTTTTAAATTGATATATTTATTATATATAGTTTGGTAATTAACTAATTCATTGTCTAAGAGCATCTCCTAAGAAGATATCAAACGCAAAATGTTAGATTTGAATTTGATGGCTTATGTGACAATTTGACATTTTGGAAAAATATTGTACTCCACCCAAAACGCCAAATATCATATTATTTTATTATATTTTTAAAAGGAAATGGGCTCATATAATGCATAAAGTTTGAAAATAAAATAAATGATAGTGGGGGTCCAAGACTAAAAAATATTAAAGTAATATTTGACATCAAGCTTTTGATAAGTTATTTTTGACATATCTCTTTCAACCTTTCAATCCATGTAGGATTTGACTATTCGGTTAGAACAATTTTAACTTTCAAATGATAATAAAAAGTTTTTGGAAACTTTTCACTTAAACCTCATTAGCAAAGCATGATAGGAAAATAGAAATTAATTTAAAATTTTCTGAAATTACCTGTAGGATTACTAAAAATGCCTAAAGTGGGGTGTATAGGTCAATTTAAAATTATAATCAATAAATAAAAATAAACTTCAGAAACAGGATTGATATGGCTTTTCAATCCTGAAACAAATCCACTATAGAACGATGATTACAATAAGTACTCACACACTTATCCTAGGCACATTCTAGATAATATTTATCGACTTATTCGTAACCCAACTTCTATCACGGCATGATCTTTCGACACTACTTATGTTGAACACTGGTCGGGATTGCTTCAAGCTTGCTGGAGAAAAACCACCACTACGATCTTGGTGCCCTCAACCGTATGAGTCATTGAACATGCAAATGAATGCAATATGAATAATGAAAGTATTCGATAAATCACCAAGTAAATATGGAATACTTGATGATTTATCTCAAAGATATGCACAATAACTTTTCATAGGAATTCTTATTCTCAAAACAAATATATCAAAGCTTGTGTAAAAACCAAGAAGAGTCACGCCATGTCTTTATATAGACATGTTCTTTTTGCAAAAGAAACTACATAAAGCCAAGAGATCCATATCATATTCGATTCTCTAAAAAATCTTATTCAATTTCGTCAGCCCATGCAAACTTCCAGTCCCATTAGTTTATACAAGGAAACCATATTAATCAATGAAACCAATTTGGGTATTAAAAGAAACATGCTCTCTAAGTCAAATATGAAATATATATATATATATATATATATTTTACTTAAACCAAAATAAGGTCCAACTAGGAAAATGATCTCAAGAGATAAAATCTAATCCTATTAAAAATAAGACTAATATAAAAGCACTTGAGTGAAAATAATTCCAACTAGAAATCCTATAACGAATGCATGATTATGTCATGATTTACCCGAAATCAAGTTCCTCATATCGATCAAGTCATACTTCGAAAATATGGGATTAAATGTGTTGCGCCAAAACTTCCAATAAAAGATATTCACACACTAATTCTCAACATATGCTAGAGTCTAGGAAATGTCAATACAATTTTCATATTATTAATCTCCCCCTTTGGTATTTCCTAGACAAAACACCTATTACAAACTCAAAAGAAATTGCATGGGATTTAACAAATGAAATCCTACTCTAAACTTGAAGCTCTGAATCCCTACACATTATGAAACAACAAAACCAGTGAAGCATGTGGGAGAAGAAATGTAATTCAAAGCAAAATTACAACATTACCCCCTGAAAGCAAAATTACAACATCACTCCCCCTTACTTCTACAACACAATCTCTCCCCCTTTTTATCATAATTTCACAGAGTCATATCTCCCCCCTTTTGTCAGGAAATCTAAAGAGCAAGGAAAGAACATAAAGGATCGCGCGCGCACACACACACATACACACACAGATATATATATATATATATATATATATATACTGAGTATAGAGCAAAAAAAGAGAGAGAATGAAAGTGAGAATGAGAGTGAAGATGTGATTGGAGTATAGAACAACTTTATTTATATATTGATATACATATAAATATTTTATTGTCAATTTATTGTGTCTACTGTCCATGGTACACGTAAACACCCTTTATTGTCTCATTCAATTCCTGACTTTTAGTTAAATTCTGAGTTATTTTCCCTCGTCCAAACGAAGGGTCAAGGTCTTTGGGTCTTGCACAATGCCAAGAAAAAGAAAACGGATTGGTTGGCAAAACAGTTTATTCGTGGATGATTAAAATATTCATATGTGAAAAATTGATATATTTAGTCTATCATTGGAATTGTTTTTGCGGATAGGTTGGCAAAACTATCTATATATTTTGGTCATTATTCACAGTTACAATAGTTTTATATTAAAATTTACCAAATGATTTTGACACTGCTTTTTGTACTAACAACACTTCAAAAATATTGTTTACCAGCTAATTATTTTTAAAGCACAGTAGCAACAATTTTTTTAGGGACATTTTGGAAAAAGCAAAAGGAGAGAGAAAAATTTTAAAAGAAGCAAAAATGGACAAAAATGCCCTTATTTATTTTTAGATTTCCTAAGGAATCCAATACATTTGCATGTCTTTGATTTGAAAGTTGAGTGGTTTTTTTGTCTTTTTTGAAAAAGCTTTGGCTTTTTCCAAAAGTGAAATTTTTTTTATGTGTAAAACTTAAAAAACCTATTTTTTTATTTATAAAAGCAACAGTAATTCCAAACTGGCCCTTAATCCAATGGCCTTTATTAAATAGGACCTCAGAAGACCTTATTTTCAGATCCTTAAGTGAGTGGGACTGTTTTATTAAATAACTTATATTTTATTAAATTTTCATCTAAATTCTTTTGAAAAATTGGGTGATAAAATAGAAAATGCGTTCAAACTTTCATCACTAATTGAAAATGAGTCTAAAGATAATGTGGTCCAGTCTAATTTAAGCAGCAGATACTGTGTCACATTGTTATTGACTCATATATATCAATCAGATTCAGAGCACATGCTGGTCAAGTGTGAATGTAGAAAAAACAGAACAATATAGTTAGGAAAAAATAAAAACCTTAAATATATGTTGACTGCAGACCCAAGTCTTGGTCTTCCTTCTACTTATTTAATATTCAATAATATTTAATCGACTTTTCATTAGAAGACTATAAGTCACCTGTTGAAAATATTGATTTGATAGGAAAATAGAAATTAATTTATAATTTTCTATTATCATGTCATACTAATGATTGTGAAAGCTTCCCGGTGTGCTTAAGAAAATTCCCCTTCTTCTTTCTAACTCTGACAAACAAAAATTATTAAATACGATAGATATGGATAATGTGACCCTCTGTGCTTAAGAAAATTCTCCTTCTTCTTTCTAGCTCAACTGTTGATATTTTGATTGCTGCTTGGTTTAATAAAATATGATCAATATTTTAAGATGACAAGCAACATATAAAACATGTTATTAGTCTTTATTTTGTAACTTAAACTTGCTACATATTTAAAATCTCCAAAATCCCTCTCTCCCAAAAAACCTTCCTAGAGCCGTTTTCACTTTGAGGGGGGAGGAGGCCCTTGTTCTTCCTCTCCTCTCCTCTCTTTCTCTTCCTCCCTCTCTTCTCCAGAGACAAATGGTTTTCTCTCATAGGCGGTTGTCATTTGTTCTGATTTTCCTCTAACCATCATAGGCGATTGCGTCTCAGCGTTGGATCTCTACTTGCGTTTTGACGTCGGATCTCTACCACCATCTTTTTTGCGGTTTCTTTATGTTCGGAATAAGTCATAGAGACTCTGTAGGTTCTCTGTGAATTTTCACCTCTCCTTTTGTGAGAGCTTTTCACCTCTCCTTTTGTGAGAGCTTTTTATCTCTCCTTTGTGAGAGTTTTATTTGTATTGTTATGGCTTGGTTTTTTCAAGCTTTGTCTATTTTTGATTATTTTGAGTTTGCAATCTTAGTTGGGATGTCTATGCTAGAGTTTATTCGATCCTGTGTAATCGTTAGTAGAGGCGCACCAGATTGTCTTAATTTTGTTGTTCGACCGCTCCGTTATTGTAATTGCCCTTTGTGGCTAGTTTGTTTTGGCCCCTTGTGGCTAATGGCTTTTTTGGCTGAATTATGAATGCAATCCTAGAATTTCTCAACAAAAAAAAACTTGCTACATATTTTCATAACTTTGTACACATTTCAAACGGTTTTAAAACCCGCAGTATCGCACGGGCACCTTTGCTAGTATGTACTATTGCCTTACTGCTTTCTTCAAGTCAACACATTCAATTTCAACTCTGGTGCCATTGTTCTTCAGCATACACTTCTTGCCTCCTGCTTCACATTTTGTGCAATTTGGTGTAGACCATCTCAAAACACTAAGAGATCTGTCTAAATTTGAAACTGGACCTGATAAAACATTATGCATCTTTGTGCAAGGCTGGAGGTTATCAATTTCGTAGTCATCATAAATGGCATAGATTTGATTGCCAAGGTTGCTGAGGCAGGGGCCATTTAGAACGCCATTTAGAACCCGATCATTATATGGCCGTCTTTCAAGAACAGCAGAACAATTGAATAAGGTAATGTTCATGGACTCTTTTGAAAAGTGGAAAGGAAAGATTGACATGTTGAGGATTTCTGAAACTTTTACCAGCAGGCAATTATCTGGGTCGTAAAAAGAGATTTGCTGATGCTCATAATCTATGCTTTTAACACAGAGTTTGACTAGAATTGGCAGCTCAAGAACCGTCTGATGTCTCTCATTGCAAGACACAGCAAACCCACGGTAGCCACAGTGATCTGGTTGCCTATCTTTGAGGCGGAAAGGGAAATGGATAGGCGGGCCTTTATCCCCACACTTCAATTCTTTGCAGGTATTTTGTGTTTCTCCAAGAACTTTGGAGAAAGCCATTAACAAAATGCAACAGGAAGAGATGAGTACTTGCTGCATTTCTGAGGTGTTAATGCCCATGGAAATCTTCTAAGCATAAAAAAAAAGGGTCGTATCTGTGTCTGATATATTTGGATGGATTGTTTGGCCAATAAATCTGACCGTTTTTCAACTGACCAATCAAGTTACGGTGCTATATAATATGACACTTCTAAATCTTATTGGAATGGCTTTGTTAATTATTATTCCCTATTTACTGCTATTCACACCTCCTCCCCATTTGTTCTGAGAAATTGTTTATGGTACTGGAATATAGTTACATAATATTATAATTCGTCCATGTGTTACAATTGATATGGTTGATATTAATCAATAAATATTCACTTATATCATAACATGTGAACGAGGTACATTACGTGATTGTACTCTAATACCACACTATAATTACTTGTCCTTTTGCATCCCTATTTTATTATTTAATAACACTAATAGATGGACTGCACTATCGCATTCTATGAATGGGTGCCCCATACCTATTCACTTGGGTTCTATAAGATCGTTCATTCTTTTGACATGTGGGGGAAAAAAATTTGAAAGAAAAAATGTGGAATAAGTCACTTTGACCAAATCAAAACCAAGTTGAAGCAACTAATTCCACATTTTAACTTGAAAAGTAGTGGGACATTTAACTTCAAAACGTTTTCTTTACGGCGAAGTCCCCATTTAAGATCCAAATAATTGAATTCTGACTTGAAAAGTAGTGAAGCACATAACTTCAAAAAGTTTTCTTTACGGCGAAGTCCTCATTTAAGATCCAAATAATTGAAGCAATTTATTCCACATTTTGACTTGAAAAGTAGTGGAACACTTAACTTCAAAACATTTTCTTTACGGCGAAGTCCCCATTTAAGATCCAAATAATTGAAGCAATTTATTCCACATTTTGACTTGAAAAGTAGTGAAGCACTTAACTTCAAAACGTTTTCTTTACGGCGAAGTCCCCATTTAAGATCCAAATAATTGAATAAAGCTTCAGAGAAAATACCATCTACTTTTAATGCCGGTCTTCATATCTTGCTCTCCCAACGCGGTTTTGACTTGTATTAACTATATGTTGACTGCACACCCAGGCCTGGTCTTCTTTCTACTTATTTAATATTCAATCGTTGATTAAAAATTGATCGAATGATGTGATGGTTTATTTCTTTTCTCTTTCTTTAAACATAAAGCGTTCCTCGACTTTTCATTACAGGACCATAAGTCACCTTTTGAAAATATTGATTTTAAAGTAGTCTTTTTAAAAAATTGATATATTCATTATATATAGTTTGGTAATTAACTAATTCGCGGCGAAGCATCTCGAAGAAAAATGTCAAATGCAAAATGTTAAATTTGAATTTGATGGATTATGTGACAATTTAACATTTTGACAAACAAAAATCCTTACATTTGATGAAAAAAGGGCTTTGATGAATAAAGGACTTCAACAATTTCTGTTGTAGTGCAAGAAATTATCGATGGAATTGAATTAAAAATCATTACAGTTGAAAATAATAAGATGAACTGAAAATATTATAGAAAACCAGCTCGAATCACTAATTAATACAGAGCAAATAGTGACATTGTTATGGAAAATGTAAAGCAACTGAATGAATTATGGTTGAGGAATGTCCTTCTCTAACCGAATGATTGCAGCTAAAGTTACGGAATCATAGTTGGGAAATGATTCATCAACTGGAAATCTTACTAAACGCGGGGTTTGCGAAACGATCTACAATGTAATCTAGAATCTGAGTGGCCTAAATAAGGCTTGAAATCTCCAAAATCTATGAAATCTGGATTGATATTTGTTTAGAAATTCAGATTCAAACACTTAGCATATACTACAATTTGACTCAAGACAAATTCAAACCCAAACACTTAGCATATACTACGATATTCAACACCATATGTTATTTAATATTACAGTGCATGATCTCATATCAAATCATGGTGACTGGTAGAACTCTTGAGGTATGCAAATGTCCATTTGCCTTGCAGACAGTATAGTTGTATTCATTCAATTCGAAGTAGAGCAGAAAGGATTGGGTGGTATGGTTAGATTGTCACCTTCTCTTTCTAACATTTGAACTACAACTTTCATTGGAGGACGATCTATTGGGTGCCATTGGACGCACCATAGACCCACAATGGCAAGTTTCTTTGCAAGTTTAGCATCTCCTTCATCCTCAATATGGATCCGTAGGTCGTCTCCTTGTTCTAAAAGGTTATAAATCCATTCCGGGAAGTAGACTTCGCCGGTGGAGTCCTCCATGAGCTTAAAGTTTTTTCTGCCACCAACCATTTCCAGCAACAACGTCCCGAAACTGTAGACATCTGACTTGTAGGACACGCTACCGAAGTTCCTAGAGAACACTTCGGGTGCAATGTAGCCCATGGTCCCCCTGACGGTTGTCATGGATATTGCGCTTTGATCCTTTGCGCATAACTTGGCTAGACCAAAATCGGAAACTTTCGGAGTGAAATTCTGGTCCAGCAAAATGTTATGGGGTTTGATGTCGAAATGGAGGATTCGGTGGTCACACCCTTGGTGAAGATACTCAATTCCTTTGGCAATACCTAAAGCAATATCTTGCAACTTATCCCAACCAAGGAAAGAATTTTTATTATCTGCTGATGATAAAAAGTTTTGTAATGAGCCATTTGGTAAGAATTCATACACAAGAGCTCGTATAAACCCATCAGCACAAAAGCCAACCAAGCGAACCACATTGACATGGTGCACGCGACCCATTGTTCCCATTTCATTTGTAAAATCTTCTCCATTATTTTCATTTGAATTGTTGAGGATTTTCACAGCAACAAGCAATTCAGAGGAAAGCTTCCCTTTAAAAACTGTTCCATAGGCCCCTTGCCCCAACTTGTCCTTGAATTGATTTGTTATCCTCTTAATATCAGCATAGGAATATCTGCTTGGCTTCTGAGCTATGTAATCTTCCAAAAATCTTTCAATTCTCAACTGATTTGTTTTCTCTGTTTTGTTGGAGCTATAGGCATGGTAGATGATGAGAGCCCCCACTGCTATAAGAGCCACAGAAACTGTGCAAACTGCAGATAGAGATGACAAAAATTAACCTAATTATATTTGACTCAGATTTATACATCAACACAAGTATTTTAATTCATGGACAACTCACCTGATATCTTTATGCGTGTCCCTCTACGGCTACTATCTGTAAAAGTTGTTATTTAAGCTAATAAGTACTTTTGCTATGAAATCGATAAAATTCTGAGTCCTGACTAATCAGATCGAATTTGAATGACTGAAAATAAATAATATTTGCTCTCAAAGTACTGCAACAAAGCCAAGTTTAGTTAAATGATACCTTCAGGGAAATCTAAACATTCGCTTTCTGCAGTCTGAACATGTGCAAGACTATATTCACTAATCTTTGATCTACATGCCTTGCCCATCTCTTCGCAATGTCGGCATGATGGTTTGGACCAATGCAACTTCATTGGAAGGGATGATATGTCTGGAATTGATGTATAGTCATGCAGTTTGGAACAAGACTCTAGGGGCAGTCTATCAACAGAACATTGAGTGTTGACAGCATATATACCGTTTTCAGGATTGTCAAAGTCGGAAGGGCTCAATTGCATCATACAAAAGCTTGTGTATGCATGGCTTTCCCTTGGATATGAACAGCGAAATAGGGTATAATTATAGTAATTGTGTCCGGGTACAAATTGTAAGGGAGAAGAAGATAAACTGAAGTTAAAAATATTTCCCGGTGGGATATTGTGGTAATACATTTCAATCTCCTGAGATGTGTACTTAATCTTTTCAACGAAGAGGTTGTTAGATGGAGATGACATCTCGAGCAGAGTCTGGCTGTCTTTAGTGCATGACAGATCAAAGCCATGGTAACCGCAATGGATTGACTGCTTACCTTTAAGTCGAAATGGGAATCGGATGGCTGGGCCGTCCGGTTTACATCTTGCTTCTCTGCAGATTTCAAGGCCTACTCCGCCATGGACTGCATCGACATCTACTACTATGAGCAACCAGCATAAGAAATTGATCAGAAGCATTATTCTAACAAAAAAAATGACTTGCAGCATTCCGGTCTCTTGCTAAGTTATTAATTGATTGTATACGACAGATATGGATAAGATTTAAGCATTAATATCGTCTACGCAGATATGTAGCATGATTGGTTTTATGTTGGATGGGTAGCCGACAATGGGAAGTGTAATCCCTGCAGCATTGAAAAAGTGTAATCCCTGCAGATTCAGAGCACATGCTGGTCAAGTGTGAATGTAGAAAAAACAGTACTATATAAGTTAGGAAAAAAAAACGTTAAATATATGTTGACTGCAGACCCAGGTCTTGGTCTTCTTTTTACTTATTAATATTCAATAATATTTAATCTACTTTGTAAAAATGGATCGAATGATATGATGGTTTCTTTCTTTTTTTCTTTCTTTAACACTAGCCCCATGTGCTAGTTGTTTTCTTTTTGCTTTTTATTTTATTTTTAGAATTAAGAAAATATAATATGGGTAGTTATGTTTCATAAAAGTAAGATCTATTATCTGATTTTTTTTTAATTTTTTAATATAAAAAAATGAATTTACTATATTTTCCTCAATTAATTAATAATTTCAATTCTTAATGTTTGAATTAACCAATGATATTTTCTGGTATTTTGAATGTTTCACCATTCTCTACCTTTTGCTTTATAAATATAGATAAAGCGTTCCTCGACTTTTCATTACAAGACCATAAGTCATCTTTTGAAAATATTGATTTGATAGGAAAATATGTATATTCACTATATATAGTTTGGTAATTAACTAATTCGCTGCCTAAGAGCATCTCTAAGGGAGATGTCAAATGCAAAATGTTAAATTTGAATTTGATGGCTTATGTGGCAATTTGACATTTTGGAAAAAATTAAACTCCACCTGAAATGCCAATTATAATTTTAAAAGCAAATGGGCCTATATGATGCATAAAAAGATAATAAATGATAACGGGATCCATGACTAAAAACATATTAAAATAATATTTGACATCAAGCTTTTGATATGTTATTTTTGATATATCTCTTCCAGACTTTAAATCCATATAGGATTTAACTATTCGGTTAGAGCAATTTTAACCTTCAAAAGATAATAATAAGTTTTTGGACACTTGTCACTTAAACTTCATTAGCTACGCATGATAGGAAAATGGAAATTAATTTATAATTTTTTGAAATTACCTATAGGATGACTAAAATGCCTAGAGGGGGGGTGAATAGGCCAATTTGAAATTATAATCAATAAATAAAAATAAACTTCACTAACAGGATTGATATGGCTTATCAAACCTGAAACGTATTGAGTGCAAAATAAAGGAACATGCAGAAAATTATTTTACGTGGTAAACCTCATATCTGGGAAAAATCAACGGGATTCCTTTGTCCAAAACAAATCTACTATAGAACGATAATTACATGAAGTATTCACACACTTATCCTCAATGCATTCTAGATAATGTTTACCGACTTTTTCGTAAATCAACTTCTGTCACGGGATGACCTGCCGACACTCTTATGTTGAACGCAATACTGGTCATGATTACCTTAAGCTCGCTAGAGAAAAATCACCACCACGGTTTTGGTGTCCTTAACAATATGAGTCACCGAACATGCAAATAAATGCAATATAAATGATGAAATTATTTAATAAATCACAAAGTAAACATGGAGCACTTGATGACTTATCTCAAAGATATGCAGAACAGCTTTTCTTAGGAATTCTAGATACTCAAAACAAATCTATCAAAGTTGTGTAAAAACCAAGAAGAGTCACGCCATGTCTTTATGCAGACATGTTGTTCTTTTGCAAGAGAAACTACATAAAGCTAAGACATCCCTATCATATTTGATTCTCTGAAAAATCCTATTCAATTTCGTCAGCCCATGCAAACTTCCAATCCCATTAGTTTATACAAGGAAATGATGTTAATCAATGAAACCAATTTGAGTATTAAAAGAAACATGCTCTCCAAGTCAAATATGAAAAAGGATATTTTTACTTAAACCAAAAATAAAGTCCAACTAGGAAAATAATCTTAAGAGATAAAATCTAATTCTATTAGAAATAGGACTTACCTAAATAGTAAACTATATTGTATGTGAAAACTAAAGCTTCCTAATATAAAAGCACTTGAGTGAATATAACTCCAACTAGGAATCCTATAATGAATGCATGATTATGTCATGATTTATCTGAAATCAAGTTCCTCATATCAATCAAGTCATATTTCGAAAATCCAGGATTGAATGTGTTGCACCAAAACAATAAAAGATATTCACACACTAATTCCCGACCTATGCTAAAGTCTAGGAAATGCCAGTATAATTTTTAAGGTTTTTTAGGTTTTAGACATAAAAAAAATTTCACTTTTGGAAAAAGCCAAAGCTTTTTCAAAAAGACAAAAAAACCGCTCAACTTTCAAATCAAAGACATGCAAAAGTATTGGATTCCTTAGGAAATCTAAAAATAAATAAGGGCATTTTTGTCCATTTTTGCTTCTTTTAAAATTTTTCTCTCTCCTTTTGCTTTTTCCAAAATGTCCCTAATTTTTATACTAACAATCTCCCCTTTGGCATTTCCTAGACAAAACACCTATTACAACTCAAAAGAAATTGCACGGGATTTAACAAATGAAATCCTACTCTAAACTCGAAGCTCTGAATCCCTGCACATTATGAAACAACAAAACCAATTAAGCATGTGGGAGAAGAAATATAATTCAAAGCAAAATTACAACATCACTCCCCCTTAATTCTACAACACAATCTCTCCCCTTTTTTATCATAATTTTACACAGTCATCTCTCACCCTTTTTGTCAGGAAATCCAAAGAGCAAGGAAATAACATAAGGGAGTATATATATATATATATATATATATATATATATTGAGTATAGAGCAAAAAGAAAGAGAATGGAAATGAGAATAAAAGTGAAGATGAGATTTGACTATAGAACAACTATTTATATATTGATATACATCATATAAATATTTTATTCTCAATTTACTATGTTCACTGTCCATGGTACACGGAAACACTCTTCACTGCCTCATTCAATTATCATAATAACATTGTGCATTAATTTTTTATTTGTAATACATAAAAAATTATTGGAAACCTCACCCTCAGTTTGGATGAAGTAATTGAAAATTATATAGAATTCTAAAATGACGGAATTTAGATTTCCATCATTTCAATTTCTAGCAATTGAAGATTTAATTGTTTGGATTTATGTATGTCGAATTTTGTAAATAACGAAATTTTGTAAATGGCACCCTGAAAATTGTGAAATGACTCATATTTTGGAGGAAATTAAACTCGGGAATTTGATGCCGCAATTTCTACGATTTTTTGCATGCGTCATTTAATAAATTCCACTCTTAAGTTGCCAAACAAGGGAATTGTTAATTTCTCCTCTTAAATTCATGACTTTCAGCTAAATTCTGAGTTATTTTCTCTCATCCAAACGAAGGGTCAAGGTCTTTGATCTTGCACAATGCCAAGAAAAAGAAAACAGATTGGTTCGCAAAACAGTCTATTCGCGGATCTTAAAATATTCATATATAAAAAATTGATGTCCATCATTGGAGTGGTTTTCGCAGATTGTTTGGCAAAACTATCTATATATTTTAGTCATTATTCACAGTTACAATAATTTTATATTAAAATTTACCAAATGGTTTTGACACTGCTTTTTGTACTAACAACACTTTAAAAATATTGTTTACCAAACATGGAGTTGTTTTAATTTACAGCTAATTATTTTCAAAGCACAGTATAAACAACTTTGTTTTTAAGTAACAGCAATTCCAAACTGGCACTTAATCCAATGGCCTTTATTAAATAGGACCTCTCATGACCTTATTTTAAGATCCTTAAGTGAGTGAGACTGTTTTATTAAATACGACTTATATTTTATTAATTTTTCAGCCAAATTCTTTTGAAAAATTGAGTGATAAAATGGAAAATGCATTCACAACTTCATCACTGATTGAAAACGAGTCTAAAGATAATGTGGTCCAGTGTAATTTAAGCAGCTGATACTGTGTCACATTGGTGTTCACTCATATATGTCAATCAGAGAGCACATGCTGGTCAAGTGTGAATGTAGAAAAAACAGAGCAATACAAGTTAGGAAAAAAAAATCTTAAATATATGTTGACTGCAGACCCAGGTCTTGGTCTTGGTCTTCTTTCTACTTATTTAATATTCAATAATATTTAATCGTTGATATATTCATTATATATAGTTTGGTAATTAACTAATTCGCCGCCTAACTTTGACAAGCAAATATCATTAAATTTGATGAGTACGACAGGATGAGTCTCCAGCATAGTAGCCGACAATGGGACGCGTAATCCCTGCAGCATTGACAAAGTGGGAAAGCAGAGTTGATTGGCAGCACTCTATCCTTTGGAGAAACGCAGTGTTTTATTGTTGAGCATGGTTGAGTGGCAGCACTTTCTGAAGTCACTCCTTTCTTATTTGCCATAGACACGGAACCTAAGTTGTCTAATTAATATGCCCTCTTCCTTAATTTCGATAAATTCCTATTGGATTGAATGCCTCTTCCCTTCCTCCTAATATTCTCTCTCACTATGTCCAGAGGAAGTCTTCTATATGCTGCACACATAGCCCTTCTCCTTCTCCTTGTTCCTTCTTCCTTCTGTTTCCAAACATCCACCCTTTGTGGCAACATCAACATAACGTATCCATTTCAATTAAAGGGAAGCCTTCAAAATTGTGGCTACAACAAATTTGAGCTATATTGTGGTAGGGAAAATGTTACAGTAATGTGCTTGTATTCGGGAAGGTATTACGTAAAGGCGATCAATTACAGTGACTGGACAATCCGAGTTGTGGATGCTGGTGTTCAGAAGAAAGACAACTACTTCTCCAACCCACTTTACTCTTTAACCTCCTACAACCTTAGTGATCGTGGAGATCCTTTTTCATCTGTTTTTTATAATAGCGACAAAGATATTCAAGAACTCCGACTGTATAGTCTAGCGATACGTGAAGTGCCTATAATTTTTATCAGCTGTGCAAATCCAATGCATTCTCCTCGCCTTATTGATACAGCTCCATGCATCAACAATTCTGCCAATTCTTCTTTGTCCAGTACTTTAGGAATGTTTTCTTATGTCATGATTGGCAACATAAGTTCATTCGATTTGGGGGAGTCCTGCAGAATAACAAAAATGGTTGTGGTGTCACCTTCAACATCTACAGATCTGCACCGGAACTTGTCCTGTGAAGGTATATATAATGAAATAGCGAGCGGCTTTGAGCTCTCATGGTTTAACGGTGCATGTAACTTATGTAGAATGGGTAAGGAGAACTGCACGCTCGACGACGTGAGTAAAACCAAGTGCCCTCCAATAAAAGGTACTATAGTGCATCTGTTAATGATTTCACTTATTCAATAACGCTAGCTAGAGTCAACATATTTGTTCTCGATCCTCCAGATGATGTCAGTAATATGCAGCGCTGTTAAATATCTTCTTCACCTCCCACCAAGCCTTATTTATTCATTTGACTACTGTTTTTTCATTTTTTTTATTTTATAGAAAAGAGCGATAGTATTATTGCTTGATACAGGGAATAAGTAACAGTGCCACAAAAATCGGACAATGTCGTTGGGAATTAGGCAAGTTTATCTACACATACAGGCTCGATCATCGAGTCATCCGACTAACTTAGTAGTCTTACCCACTCAACCGCAAAGCGGGGGTAGGAACCTAACCACCGATAGAGTACCCCATGTCCCCCTAAGATCATGCCCGTAGAAAAATTACATGTTACATTCCTCAACTAAGAGATCACTAATAAAGTCTGGAGGTTCCTCGAACCAAGTAATGGTAGAACCCACCCATTTAACTTTAATTCTTCATATTTGGTAAATTTCCTTAGTCGTCAAATTTCTCGCTTGATTGTACTTTTGACTTGTATAGGTTACCATTCTTAGTTTCATTGTCTTGTATATCGAGCTTTGCCCTTTTAAATAGACACAGAATCATTACCGAATTATTTCACATTAACATGGTATCAGAGCATGTCTCTATCCTTGGTTAATCCCGTGAGAAAGATAAGAATGTGATGGATGTGAAACTTTACACATTGACAAGATTTTGTTGTCAAATAACATTTCACGCTGTTTTCATGTGTAGAGATTGATATATTACAGTCATCTACTATAGATATATTATGTTAGAGTTAGAGATACTGATCAAAGAAATAGGAAGAGAGTTTTTATCAAGAGATATTTAGTGATATACCCATTTCTAGCACTAATATATTACAGTCATCTACGGGAGGCTATGACGTATTGATTTCTAATAATGTATTATGATCTTTTTGTATGCAAAATATGAATCTTATTTTCTTTTGCAATGCAGGAAAAATATGGGAGATACTGTTGGAGATCTTAGAGGACATATACTATACAGCAGGCAAAGTAGCTGACTCTGTAGCATTAATTTCATCAAAGTATACTTAATTGAATTATGAATTTATGATCGAGTTTTTCACTTGTGTTGCAGCATGGGTATTCCAGTTGTATTTCTTTGCGCTCACCAACAAGTGCAACAGTAATGTCCCCCTTCCTTGGCTTCCAGTAAGCTGTGTAATCTCTTACCTAGGTAATGTGAACTACTTGAAATCAGTTACTGTGTAGCAATTTGCAGTTTTAGCTGAAGAGATAGAGAGACAAAATGAGAAAGAAAGGAGGAGAGGGAGAAAATGGAATGAAATGTTGCACAAAAAGAAAACTGATTAAAAGCAACAACTAAAAACTAAACACGAGAAGGCTACCAGACGCCCGGGCCCTTCACTAATGAAAAATGTTGTACTAAGGAAAATGTGATAGTGTTGTAGCAATCAATTAATGTCTCTATTGAGTCCACTTTTTGTGAACTGCGCAGGAATATTGCACACAGTCTTATATGTGTTTGGCTTTCCCTGTGCAACTGCATTAATAATATACAAATGGAGAAGGAGGCATTTGTCAGTGCATCACAATATAGAAGACTTTTTGCAGAACAATGAGCTCGTGCCAGTAAGGTACTCCTACTCAAACATAAAAAAGATGGCCAAAGGTTTCAAGGAAAAATTGGGTGAAGGAGGCTATGGCTCGGTGTACAAGGCAAAGCTTCGTAGCGGTCGCCTGGTAGCCATCAAGATGTTGGGTAAGTCCAAAGCTAATGGGCAAGACTTCATCAATGAAGTTGCTACCATTGGAAGGATTCACCATGTCAACGTGGTGCGACTCATTGGCTTCTGTGTTGAGGGTTCAAAGCGTGCTCTCGTATACGACTTCATGCCTAATGGATCTCTCGATAAATACTTATTTTCTCAACAAGGAGTTATCTCTTTGAATTGTGAGAAAATGTTTGAAATTGCTCTTGGAGTGGCTCGTGGTATTGAATATTTGCACAGAGGATGTGACATGCAAATTCTGCACTTTGACATCAAACCTCATAACATTCTTCTTGACGAGAATTTTCTTCCCAAGGTGTCTGATTTTGGATTAGCAAGGCTATGCCCGCTTGATAATAGCATTGTATCTTTGACAGCAGCAAGAGGAACTATCGGATACATAGCACCAGAGTTATTCTATAAAAACATTGGAGGTATTTCATACAAAGCTGATGTCTATAGTTTTGGAATGCTGTTGATGGAAATGGCTGGTAGAAGAAAGAATTTAAATGCAACCATAGAGAAGTCAAGCCAAATATACTTTCCAACATGGGTTTTTGACCAATTGAGTGATGGAAAGGACATAAAAGTTGAAGACGCCACAGAGGAGGAAGAGAAGATCATAAAGAAGATGATCATTGTGGCATTGTGGTGCATACAAATGAAGCCTAGTGACCGTCCTTCAATGAATAAAGCAATCGAGATGCTTGAAGGAGAAATTGAGTGCCTTGAAATGCCTCCAAAGCCTTTTTTGTATCCACAACAAATGCCAGAAGTGGCTCCTGGGGACAATTCAAGTACCACAAGTGCATCAACAGTAACAAATTCTACAGAAATCGTTTTGATTGCTGATGTGAATCAAACAATGTAATATATAGATCTTGATGTGCAAGGGAGATTACGTAATGAATAAGCAGAATTAGACTTCTGTTTGCTGCCTTTGTTTACTACATTTGGAAGGAAATAAATTGTAGGATTTTCAGAAACGCTTCTTGCTCCCTGCCACTACTACAAAAAAGGAAAAACACGACGGGAATTCACCGTCGTGTATTATGTTTTCAAATGGTCGTGGAATCCACCGACATCTTTTCCATAACCAAACCACGACGGTGAATAACCGTCGTTGTTAAAACAAAAAACGTCATCAAAAAATAAAAACCGACGTCTTTGTGCTGCAAAAAAGACATAAAAAAACGGTCGAGGATGAGAATAGACGACCAACTCCAACAAAAAAACGTCGTTAAAAAGGAAACAGATGACATATATTAACAGAACATGGCCGCAAGATAAACACGACGTTATTGACACCTACTACGTCACAACATTTCCCACAACCGTCGTAAAATAAATTTTCCACTTCGATTTTTCTATGAATTATGACGTGGAAATAGATGTCAGGGTCATTACTTACGACGCATGTATTTACAGAGACGACGTTGAATTGGATAAATAACGTCGGTTTCAAATAAATGAGAGCCGTATTACAGAATTTATACGTCATATTTTGAAAATAAACGACGTGGAAAAAATGATGGGGTCATTAATTACGACACAGTAATTTATAAGGACGACGTTGTCGTCTATATACAACGTCGGTACCATGAAAAAGACCGTCGTGTTTAATAATTTATACGTCTTCATTTAAAAAATTGACGTCGTCTAATGCATATATCTTAACGTCGACAAGTTTAATGGACTTCAAATACCGTCGTAAAATAAATTTTCCACTTCGATTTTTCTACGAATTATGACGTGGAAATAGATGTCAGGTTCATTAATTACGATATGTATTTACTGAGACGACGTTGAAATGAATAAACAACGTCGGTTCCAAATAAATGAGAGCCGTATTACAGAATTTATACGTCATATTTTGAAAATAAACGACGTGGAAAAAATGATGGGGTCATTAATTACGACACAGTAATTTATGAGGACGACGTTGTCGTTTATATACAACGTCGGTACCATGAAAAAGACCGTCGTGTTTAATAATTTATACGTCTTCATTAAAAAAATTAACGTCGTCTAATTCATAAATCTTAACGTCGACAAATTTAATGGATTTCAAATACCGTCGTGAATTCATCCTTTTCCACTTCGTTTATGAAAGAACATGCGACGTGGTAAATTCATGACGACGTCGTCTTTTGTAACGTTCAGGTTAAAGTTCTCGTCTTTTAGACGTCGGTGTTATGGGATTGGAGACGTGTTATGTTGAATTACATGGCGGTTCTTTATCAAAACCGTCGTGTTTGTAATCTGGAACCAGTAATTTTTGTACTGATTGTTTTGTGGCCAAAACCTGTATAATGAAAGTGAAGAAATCACATTACAATATATTACAAATTAATGTCATACACTGCCAATTACATAAAGCATCATTCAACCCATATATCTTCACACCCATCTCGAATATTTTGACTCCCTAACTCAACCACCATTTCATCAAATGTGTCAACATTTGGCATCCCCCTAGTAAATGGCTCACACTCAATTCTCACATCACCTAAGACATCATCACCAATAACATCATTATATTCTCTATTAGGCATTGATAACACTACCGACCAACCACGATGCATCGGGTCGTCAACAAAAAATACTTGTTTGACTTGAGAAGCCAAAACAAATTGGTCATTCCTATGTCCAATTTTACTCAAATCTACAAGGGTAAATCCAAGTTCGTCCACTACAAGACCAGAAGTATTATCAATCCAATCACACCTAAAGACTGGGATTGTAAACTTTTGGTAGTCAAGGTCCCAAATTTCTTGAATGACACCATAGAAACCCATATTTGAGAGAATTGGGTTTTTATCCTTGGCACTAGCAACTTGCATAGTATGTGCAAGTAAATAAACTCCACTATTTTGAGTTGTCCGCACATCATCTTGTGCCTTGATGTTGAATTTAATACCTTTAATGAGATAGCTCCTATATAATGGCACTGCCATGTTTGGACCAGCTGCTAGCCACCTTAAATTTTCTGATACGCCATGATTGTCCTCATTAAGTTCACTTTGAACCTGCAAATTAATCATAACTTAATTCAATCTAACATAGAAAGAAGAAAATTAAAAGTCCAATATGTTATTCAATAACATATACCTTGAAGCGTAGCCATTGAATGAAAGTGCTATTGTGCTTATCCTGCAGCCACTTTGTTCTCTTTCTAAATTTTGGATAAGCGGTCTGGATGTGGATCATATGTTGCCTACTGACACACAAAATTCAAGTATTACGGTCCCAAACATATAAGATAAACATAAGAAATAATTTAAAATGGAAACTTAAAGAATAAAACTCATACGTACTCGATATAAGGTAGGACTTCCTCCGTATTCTCCAAGACATATAGATGTGCTTGGTTCAACAGGTCCCGATCAACTACGCTCACTGTGCAACCTGATAATGGCTTTGAAACTCCCATCTTTTGGCTTGAAGGCACTCCAACTGTACTAACATCAGATAAATGCTCGGTACAAAACTCTACAGCTTCTTCAGGTATATACCGCTCAGCAATGCAACCTTCGGGACGAGTACGATTCTGAACATACCCCTTTAGCACTTTCATATATCTTTCAAACGGATACATCCATCTAAAATATACTGGCCCACACAGACGAACTTCTCTGACAAGATGTACTACTAGATGAACCATGATATCAAAGAATGAAGGGGGAAAGTACTTCTCAAGCAAACACAAAGTAACTACTACATCTTCTTCCAACTTATCTAGCTTGGAAACATCAACAGTCTTTGCACATATAGCATTGAAGAAGAAGCACAAACGAGTTATTGCATACCTTGCAGGCTTCTCCAAAACAGAACGAATTGCCACATGGAGCAATTGTTGCATTAAGGTATGACAATCATGTGATTTAAGGCCAAGAAGTCTTGAATCTTGTAAAGATACAAGATTTTTTATATACAAATTTATAAATAAACCCAATTCTAGACATGTATTTATAAAAAAACCCAAATACTATTTAAACATAGAAACACACCCAAAATCAACCCCAAAGTCAACAATTGTATATTTTTTGGGTGTATTTATAAATGGGTTTTGAGTGTGTGTAATGATGGGTTTTGGGTGTGTTTATAATTTCAGCTCCCATTTTGGGTGTTTTAGTGAAACTCCCTTTTTTATATTTGAAGAATAACCTTCAGGGACCTTCATACCATAGAAAGAATTGCAAACCTCTCTCTTCTCTGCTCTTGACAAATTTCAAGGCCCGGGAGGCAAACGAGTACGTCTTTCTCCATACTCGGGTTGCAAATCAGTTTTGACCCCCATGTTCAATAAATCTAATCGAGCAGCAATCCCATCTTTAATTTTTCCAGGGATCTCCAGCAATGTACCAATGATACTATCGCAAACATTCTTCTCAATGTGCATAACATCTAGGACATGCCTCACAGGAAGGTATTTCCAATACTCGAGATCAAAGAATATTGATTTCTTCTTCCAACAAACTCTGTCACCCATCTTCAACCATATGCAGCACTTCTTCTCCGGTTAATGGCTCAGGAGGCGTGCCATATTCAGGTTTCCCATTAAAAGCTGCACGTTGCCTCCTATATGGATGATTGATCGGTAACCATTTTCTATGCCCAATGTAACAAATTTTGTGGCCATTTTTCAACCTGTGACTAGGTGTATCATCGCCGCATATTGGACAAGCTTTATATCCTTTAACAACACAACCAGATAAGTTTCCATAGGCGGGGAAATCATTAATTGTCCACATTAATGCAGCTCTGAGTGTAAAGTATTCTCCATTATGTGCATCATACACTCCTCCAATCCCATCCCACAAAGATTTTAAATCATCAATCAAAGGCTCCAAGTAGACGTCTATATCATTTCCGGGTTGTTTAGGACCGGAAATCAATAAGGTCAACATCATGAACTTTCGTTTCATGCACAGCCATGGAGGGAGATTATATGTAACTAAGATAACTGGCCAGCAACTATATCTGCTACTTAGAGAACTGTGGGGATTGAATCCATCAGATGAAAGAGCCAATCTCAAGTTTCTCGGCTCATTACCAAACTCGGGCCATTTATCATCAAGAAGTTTCCAAGACGGGGAATCCGCTGGATGAGACATATAACCGTCAATTGATTTTCTAGCAGCATGCCAAGTCAAACTCTTAGCGGTCTCATGTGATCGAAACATCCTTTTAAACCTTGGAATTGGAGGAAAATACCACACCACCTTCGCTGGCACACCCTCTTTCAAGATTGAATCTTTGCCTTCCTTCCACCTTGAGATACCACAATTAGGACAATGAGTTAAATCCTCATACTCCTTCCTATACAAGATGCAATCATTGGGGCATGCGTGCATTTTCTCATAACTCAGCCCCAATGCACACAAAGTCTTTTTTGCCTCATACATAGAGGCCGGTATTGTATTTCCTTCTGGAAGCAAATCGCCTTGAAGTATCAATAATTCTGTAAAACAGACATCACTCATCCCATATTTTGCCTTCAAATTATACAACTTCACTAATGCCGATAACTTCGTGTACTTTCTACAACCAGGGTACAATGGTTGATCTCCATCCCCAATCACATTGGCAAACTCATAAGGATCAGATCCAAAATCACCAAAATCATTATCATCCATCTCTATTTCTTCAGACACAAAACTGTACCTACTATGGTCATCATCTTCTTCAACATTTCTACTAGCATTAGTAGCTGCTTCCCAAGGTTCTCCGTGAAATGTCCAATTCTTATAGCTTTGGTCAACTCCATTAAAGTATAAGTGATCCCTTATAATTCCAACCCCAAACAATTTCAAATTAACACATTTAACACATGGACAACGGATATGTGTGGTAGTTAGAAGATTTTCTACAGAAAAGTTCAAAAATGCTTCCACCCCTAACTCATATGCCTTCGATCTTCTATCCGAGTGCATCCATGACTTATCCATCTCCGACACTATACCCTATTATATATAATAAAGTGAAAAGACAAGCAATGACCATCACTATAGCAGATTATATAAAGTCTAATAGCAAGTAATATACAACAGAGACGACGGTTTTTAAACAAAAACAGACGTATTTGACATATATAGACGACGGATTTTACGTCGTCTAATTATAACCACGACGGTAGTTAAATAACACCGTCGTGTATAAGTAATAAAAACGACGGTTTAAAGTAAAAACCGTCGTCGTATGCCTGAAAAACGCGTCGATATCCAGTTTATTTTCAAGATCCCAAAACCCTATTAAGAACACAACATAGACATGAAACCAAGCAAGAAACCAACATATACATGAAACCAACATATACTAAGCATGAAAACAATAAATCCATTCCCAATTCAACATAACAGAGAGTGATTAAAAGATCCGACAAAATGAAATCCATTCCATATTCAACATAACAGAGTGATCAAGAAAACATTAAACAGAAAATCCATGAACCCATACCTCCAACAACATTATTAACAGATCGCAAACCATATACCTAAAACCCTTTAACAAAACAACGTAATATATCATTCAATGAATTTACAAGGGGAAGAGAGGGTTTGTACTTACAGGTTGGCAGAGCTCACAGATTATGACCAAATTGGATTTGACACAGCCTGGCCCAACTTTGAATTAGAGATGAAGTGAGAGAGCGAAATGTTATGTTGTGCGAAATCAGAAAATTTTAGGGTTCAGGGTTAGAAGTATAAAAATAAGAGCCAAATCTGAAAATTTTAGGTCCCGCGAATATTTTAAGAAAGCGCGCTTTTTAAAACATCAACCGAAAAAACAAGCGTCGTTAAAATTTAACATTAAACATGACGTGTAACACCCCGACTCCAAATTTATCCCATGTTTTAATTAATTTGAGTGAAATTAAGAATTTACCCGTGGGATAGGGGTATTTTAGTCATTTTCTTACCCGGAAGGAATTTGGGAATTCCAGATGTACCGTTGCGTAGAGCACGGCGAGATGAGTTCGTAGACACGTAGTGGGCTCGAATCGGAGCTGTAACGAGAGAGTTACGGGCAAAACATCACCAGTGGCAAAATTGTAAATATTTTGAAAGAGGTTTTTGGTTAAAAGACGGAACTGCCCCCGTCTCTCTCACACACTCTCTCTCTCCCGCGCGTCTCTCCCTCTCTCCTCTGGTTCTCGCGACAGCCACCGTGGCCGACCACGTTTTGGCCGGCCGTTCGCTCATCCGGCCACCAAAGTCGACGGGGCCGGTACCAAAATGACCGGGCCGCCGTCCTCTTCCTACCCCAGTCAGGTCTCGCCGTCAGCCGTCGAGATTTCACCGGAAAACGAGGAGAAAAGCTCCGGTTTTGACAGAAACTTCGCCGGCTTCGTTCTCCGTCGTCCGGCCGCCATTTTTGGCGATCCAGGTATGGAAATCTATCCTTTCCTCATGATCTAGCTGATGGATGGGTAGGATTTCGTTAATTTTGAGCCTAGATTATCTGATTTTCGAGTTAGGGTTCGGCCAATTTGGGTGCGATTTCGGCCACTTCCGGTCAGTTTTTGGGGTATGTCCCAAGAACAAAAGTGGCTCAGAATAGGGTTTTACATCTAGGATAGGAAGCTTGGCCGGCGGTTTGGAGTTTTCCGGCCGCCGGAAATTACTCAAGGCACCCACGCGCTGCCGGCGCGTGTGGCGGCGCGTGGGCTAGGAAAATGGACCGGCTCGAGGTTCTAAAATGATCTCCTAGTTCTCACGAGCGCGTAGGTGTGCTCGGATCTCATTTTGGGTACCGTTAGAGTCCCGAACGGATATCGCATATCGCGTATTTTCCGGGTTCGCTAGGTTTGGACCGTTGGATGGTCCTGAAGTTATAATATGTTGATCTAGGTATTACCAAGATCGTGTAGGATTTGACGGATCGTAAAACGGAGTCCCGGATACTCCGGAAATGCCAACCCTGGGGTTAGGGTTTTAGTAACCATCCGATCCTGCGGTCGTGAGCGATCCGACCGTCCGATCTGGACCAAACTTGCAGGACGTGCATCCTAGAGCTTGTAGAACCTATAGGAACTTTCGGATCGGAAATTGGAGGTCGTGGGCCCCTGCGGCTCGTTTGACCAACGGTGGGTAGTTTGACCCTGGGTTGACTGTGAGACCTTTGGGATAGTTCTACCTTCTCAGGAGGGTTAGAATGACCATAGAGACAGGTCCTGATGTTATGGGGGATTATGGGGAATTATCGGATGCTAGTTGTTTATTAAGGTGTTTATATTATTAGAATTTAATGTATAAATTATGTATGGATTTTATAATTGAATGTTAGTTTGCAGTGCTATATGCACTACCCTATGTACCTCCTCGGATGTTGACAGACCCCATACGTGGCCGGGTGCGTCCCGACGTATGAGGGGAGATGTGATTGTGTGAAGGCTGGTGAGAATGTAGCCAGGCCCAGTGTGAGGTCGCACGTGTCTTTGGATTAGCCGGCGTGTTGACAGACCCCATACGTGGCCGGGTGCGTCCCGACGTATGAGGGGAGATGTGATTGTGTGATGGCTGGTGAGAATGTAGCCAGGCCCAGTGTGAGGTCGCACGCGTCTTTGGATTAGCCGGCGTGTTGACAGACCCTATACGTGGCCGGGTGCGTCCCGACGTATGAGGGGAGATGTGATTGTGTGAGGGCTGGTGAGAATGTAGCCAGGCCCAGTGTGAGGTCGCACGCGTCTTTGGATTAGCCGGCGTGTTGACAGACCCCATACGTGGCCGGTTGCGTCCCGACGTATGAGGGGAGATATGATTGTGTGAGGGCTGGTGAGAATGTAGCCAGGCCCAGTGTGAGGTCGCACGCGTCTTTGGATTAGCCGGCGTATTGACAGACCCTATACGTGGCCGGGTGCGTCCCGACGTATGAGGGGAGATGTGATTGTGTGATGGCTGGTGAGAATGTAGCCAGGCCCAGTGTGAGGTCGCACGCGTCTTTGGATTAGCCGGCGTGTTGACAGACCCCATACGTGGCCGGTTGCGTCCCGACGTAAGAGGGGAGATATGATTGTGTGAGGGCTGGTGAGAATGTAGCCAGGCCCAGTGTGAGGTCGCACGCGTCTTTGGATTAGCCGGAGTGTTGACAGACCCCATACGTGGCCGGGTGCGTCCCGACGTATGAGGGGAGATATGATTGTGTGAGGGCTGGTGAGAATGTAGCCAGGCCCAGGGTTGAGGTTGCACGCGTCTTTGGATTAGCCGGCGTGTAGACAGACCCCATACGTGGCCGGGTGCGTCCCGTCGTATGAGGGGATTGTGTTTGGTGTGTTGTGATGGATAAACCGTAGAATGTATGAATTATATGGAAGGAATGGACTATTTGATATTAGGAGCCAGGATTGGTAGGAAAGAGCTACGTGTGGCTTGATCCCTTAGTAGGGTACGTAGGCAGCCTGGGATAGCGCCTAGGTGCAGCCACGACTTAGACACCACTTAGGTGGTTTATTCGAGTATGATGCGGACCTCGTGGTTGGTCCCGAAACTTGGTTGAATTGAGGCTTGTCCGATGGACTGAGTGAGTGAAGGTGTGTATGTATGGATTTTGAATTGGTTATATGCGTGTGTGATGCATTAAGTTATTTTGAAAACAGTGTGGGCAGTTTGTTAGAATCATTTGAAGGCTGGAGGCCATTTATGTAAATTGCATGAGATTATATTGTGCATGCTGCTGGTTGGGTTATAAATGTATTTCATGCAGGTGGAAATTTTGGGGAATGTTCAATTTACAGGGGAGACTCTGCCGAAATTTTGGCAGAAAGTCTAGTGCCCTAAATCCTCTCTGGTAAAAAAGGACATAGTTTTAAGGAGTGAACCCGGCGTGGGTGTGATGCCGGGGTCTCCGCAGGGTTCGTCTCGGGTTCCGGGAAATTCGGGGCGGGTCCTATCATGACGCTTATTACATTAAGGACGTCGTGGTAAAACTATGTGCCACGCAAAATCAAAAAAGGCGTTAAAACTATGAAAAACCACGGCGGGTTAAGTAATTAACGACGTTGTAAATAATAATAAACGACTTACGTGTAAACAAAACGTCGTTTAAAAAAGAAACCACGTCGGATTTTTCACCATACGACGTAAACTCAATATTCCACGACTCAATCACCGTCGTTAAAAGTAATACCCTAAACTTTAAAACCATAAATTATATATTTGTAAAATTTAATTTTATAAAATTGTTTATGGTTTTACATCCTAATAAATAACAAGCATAAACCCTAAACCCCAAAAATTATACTTTAACCATAAACCCTAATAAATAACAACCCTAAACCCCAAACCCTAAACCCTAAACCATCAAACTATATAAGTGATGCTATGACACATAACAACAATTTTATTTTGGTTGGTCATTTTAAACTTTTATTACACAAATTGCATTTTTTTGGGGTTTAGGGGGAAGAAAATATATCAATGACTTCATAGGAGTTGAAGTTGAATTTTTTGAATTTATTTTTAAAATTTTGAATTAAAAATAATAAAATATTCTTATATCAACAACAAACCACGGCGGGGTTAAGTAACTAACGACGTTGTAAATAATAATAAACGACTAAAAGGTAAACAAAACGTCGTTTAAAAAAGAAACCACGTCGGATTTTTCAACATAAACACCAAAACTAAATAAGCCCATTCGATTTTATTAATATTCAAAACACCATTCATATACTTATTAATATTCAAAACACCATTCATATACTTAGGAAATATACTTCTGAAAATCCCACAAGACAAGATAATAAAATCCAAAACACCATATTTAAAATTCCCAAAACCATAGCCCATCAATATATTGTAACATCCCACATCGACCAACGGAGAGGGGGTGATGTGCCTTATATGTACATGCCTGCCCCCATCTAGCACGAGGCTTTTTGGGAGCTCACTGGCTTCGGAGTCATGGGAACTCCAAAGTTAAGCAAGTTGGAGGTAGAGCAATCCCAAGATGGGTGACCCACTGGGAAGTTGCTCGTGAGCTCCCAGAAACAAAACCGTGAGGGCAAAGAGGGGGGCCCAAAGCGGACAATATCGTGCTACGGCGGAGTCGATCCCGGGATGTGACAATTTGGTATTAGAGTCACTCTGCCATGTGGTGCGAGTGTGCCGACGAGGACTTCCCAATGGCAAGAGGTTATTGATTTGAATCTTACTGGCGTGTTTCTGTGCACACAGGTGTGTAGTTTCGGGCATATGTTGATCTAGTAATTATAGTTGTTCAAGCTTAGAATTGTCTGATCTTTTTAGCATGGTTCATGCTTTTTGCAGACTGCAGCGAAAGTTATGATGAAACGGAGAAAGGTAATCAAATTCTGTCTTTCTTTTATTATGTCAATGTGAAAATCCTATTTTTCTTCTAGATCCTTAATCTGTTCGTCATATTTCAGGGAAGAATAATCAATATAGCATCTGTTGTTGGTCTTGTTGGCAATGTTGGACAAGCCAACTACAGTGCTGCAAAGGCCGGAGTAATTGGCTTTACGAAGAGTGTTGCAAAGGAATATTCAAGCAGGAGCATTAATGTATGTGCATATGATTCAATTTTTTTAATTAATTAATTTTATTATCTGTTTTCGGTGTGTGGAGCTTGCCTGCTAATACGTGTAACCCCACTCCACACTTAGCAATGGCTATGTGGTTTGTTTCATGACATTAAACATTCAAGCAGATATATTTTTAAATTTCTTGCATATTTCCAGTCTTACATGGTGGGCCTAAAGCAATTATCCATCTAAAGCTTTCTTTTTTCCATAGGTGAATGCTGTAGCACCTGGTATTGACCATTGATGGAGGGATGGTGATGTGAGAGGCCAAGTCCCGCACCCCAACCAGCTTCATCTTACAGAAGGTTTCAAACGAAGAGAGGCTTTTCTTTACTTATCATAACAAAATGGATAATAACTTTAATTATGGTTCTCTAATATAATTTGTAATATATATTCATTTCTAGTTATGATTTTTGGTTCTTGGGATTTGCATAATTATTATATTATGTATGAATAATTAAATATTGGATATGGATTTGGTAGTAAAATTCATTACCTTACTTCTGCTCTCCTCTCTCGCTCTCTATCACTGAATCAGTCTCTTCTTTTAGGGTATACTGTTAAGACTTTCGTCTCTGTCTTATCCTTTTGGTTTACAAAGTCTTCGTTGCATGCCACAATTCTCCAATTGGATAGTGTCTTGCATTTGACAATAATTGACTATTTTTCTATACTATTTGATCAGCTTCACATAGCTGTCTTTGTGCTACATAATTATTCCAGCTATTCATATGATTATTCTCTAACCACATTGTACAATTTAAATCAGTGAATAAATTCATCTGCATTTTGAAAAAATATCCTACTGCTGCTTTTTTCTCTTGTACACATCACCCACTCTTCTGTCATTACCCTCAATCATATTGTTCATGAAGGTAGTCAGTTTCTTTAACTCCCTATCTTTCCATTCCGTTTGACCTTCACTTGTCCTATGCTTCATTGCAGAGAAGAGATGTGTAGTAATGTCCTCGATAGTGCCAAAGGATGCCCAAAGATTCATTTATATTTTAGTATATTTGTTATTCCAAAGAGAATAAAAAAGAATGTTTGTTTTAACGTTCCCTTGTTGCCACTTATTCACTTTGAATTTCTTTTTCTGATTTTTTTTATCTTTCCCAATGCCTCCCAAGTCCATTATACTCTTGGCAGTGAATGCTCCCTCAAATTTGGGTTGTCAGTGACTCATTATTGTACATTTTATTTAATTATAACTTCCCCCAAGTTGTGCAGTTGATTCCTTCTTTTTCTTGCTCTGATTACGCGCTATTGCATATAGCATGCATACAACTCAGATGAGGATTATGCAGAGTTGGAGTCCAGATTGCGTGCGCATTTGGAATCTTTCCTAGAACTGCAAGATCATTCAATACATTAAGGTTTGACCTGCTCTTTCCTTTCGTATACACTGCCTTTTGACAATCTGCTATCCCTTCTTTTCTATTCTTTTCCTGTTTGCTGTGCCAAATTAAAAGATTTTGGCATACTTGTTACTGATAATGTATATCTAAAGAGGAAAAGTGATGCGCTTGTGATACATGAACTTGTCTTAAAAGAAAAAGAAAAAGAACTGTATATTTGCCTTCACCATAATGATTGAAATTTATGCTTTTGGGTGGATTCCTTTTTCACATATCTGTCTTGGTTGGCAAATGAGATAGTTTTTATGCTTCTGTTCCAGCTCCTTGCTAATTGGAAATTCACTTTTTAGTTACTACAGTTGGATTGTTGACATTTATTTGACGCGCATGAGTCCGTAATGCCTTTTTGTTAGTTGTTTTGGTATGTGCCAATCGCTTGTTAGAGGCATATACAAGATGCTTTTAAAGGTATCTCATTGCTGATTAAATTATTTATCTGTTCATTTTCATAGTACATTATGAGGATTATTAGACTAATACTGATGCGTAGTTAACTTATTTACCTGTTGTGTTGGAGGAGGAATAAGTGAAAGAAGGTGGGGGTGGGGGAAAATAATTTTCTTTATTTTGAAGTAGGAGGGAGGAAATAGAAAAGAAAGTGGGCGAGGTATATTTCTCTTGAGCTGGAAAAAGCATTCCCCTCGAGGCAAGGACGGATTTAGGAATTTAAAATGGCATGAGCTGGATTTATCTTACAATAAAACTCGACGGCACAAGTGAATTTAATTAATAACAAAAAATAATACACCTAGTCAGTGCTAAAATATGATAAGTCTCATAAATGAAAATTAGGCGTGGCAACATATCGAGCGAAAATGAGAATGAAGAGGTCATTTTATTTCTGAGTTTAGATCGAGAGAAATGGGAAGGAAGAAAATTGGCAAAGCTAGGTTTTTTGTCTTTTGAGTTGTGATTTTTTTCTCCCTTTGTTTCCTTTTATAAACATCTATTATGACACCTGTTTCTGATTTTTCCTACGTTCCTCGAGCTCCACACCCTTAATTTCCGCTCCCTATTTTCCACACCAAGCTCCACGACAATGTCTTAATAATAATAATTTTTGAATACCTGTGGGGTGACCCTTGCCTAACCCCAAAATCCCTCCTATTGGATTATCATGACCATGAAAATAGTCAATGAAGTTCACCTTATTGAAGAGTCCCCACCCAAATATCACATTAGGGATAGCTAGTTGCCCTTGCTCGGATAAAAATGTAAACGTATCAAATCCAAAGGGGCCGTAAGTGGAACTGCGATCATAGTAGAACAACCCATAAACACAATTCTGGCCCCTAGTACCAGGACCAAGGTTTGGAGGAACACAAAGTGGTTGATCATCAGGCATGGGCCCGGACGTGGTTGATCTCCTGATGTTGAAGTTAGGCAGTCACAATTCGAAGCACGACTTGCATCTTTGCATTGAACTCACGTTAGTTTGACTAAGGCTCGATGAGTGGGCTCTGCTTTCAACTTTGGGATGGGCTATCTCCATTAAGTGTTTTTTTTTTTCCTCTTAAGAATACTATATGGTATTACAAACACAAAAAGTATTAGTATGGGCTGTATGGGCTACAGCCCACTATGTTGATCTGTGAGTCTGTGACTGCCTCGAGGTCAGGAAAGGATTTTCCTCGAACATGGGGAAGCCCTTTTTTATTCCAGAATAGAATACGAGAAACGGGGAGACTGCATGTCTAACTTATTTTTAGCCTTACAAATTGGGGACCAAATTTTTTGTACATTAAGAAAGAGGCGATATGATAATAGAACCACTTCTGGATTTCTTTGCTTCCCCTCTCTTCCCCTGAACTCAAGGGCCACCTCTGAAAGTGAGACATTGTATTGTGTATGTAGAAAATGAGACATTGTTTTCAAGGGCCATTTCAAAACGTTTTCTTTACGGCGAAGTCCCCATTTAAGATCCAAATAATTGAAGCAATTTATTCCACATTTTGACTTGAAAAGTAGTGGAGCACTTAACTTCAAAACGTTTTCTTTACGGCGAAGTCCCCATTTAAGATCCAAATAATTGAAGCAATTTATTCCACATTTTGAAAAGTAGTGAAGCACTTAACTTCAAAACGTTTTCTTTAGGGCGAAGTCCCCATTTAAGATCCCAATAATTGAAGCAATTTATTCCACATTTTGAAAAGTAGTAGAGCATTTAACTTCAAAACGTTTTCTTTACGGCAAAGTCCTCATTTAAGATCCAAATAATTGAAGCAATTTATTCCACATTTTGACTTGAAAAGTAGTGGAGCACTTAACTTCAAAACGTTTTGATTACTGCAGTCCCTATTTAAGATCCAAATAATTGAATACAGATTCAGAGAAATTACCATCTATTTTAATGCCGGTCTTCATAGCTTGCTCTCTCAACGCTGTTTCGACTCTGCAGACCCAGGCCCTGGTCTTCTTTCTACTTATTTAATATTCAATAATATTTAATCGTTGACTAAAAATTGATCGAATGATGTGATGGTTTCTTTCTTTTCTCTTTCTTTAAACATAAAGCGTTCCTCGACTTTCATTACAAGACCATAAGTCACCTTTTGAAAATATTGATTTTAAAGTAGTCTTTTTTTAAAATTGATATATTCATTATATATAGTTTGGTAATTAACTAATTCACGGCCGAGCATCTCCAAAGAAAATATCAAATGCAAAATGTTAAATTTGAATTTGATGGCTGATGTGGCAATTTAACATTTTGACAAACAAAAAGGGCTTTGATGAACAAAGGACTTCAACAATTTCTGTTGTAGTGCAAAGAAAATATCGATGGAATTGAATTAAAAATCATTACAGTTGAAAATAATAAGATGAACTGAATATATTATAGAAAACCAGCTCGAATCACTAATTAATACAGAGCAAATAGTGACATTGTTATGGAAAATGTAAAGCAACTGAATGAATTATGGTTGAGGAATGTCCTTCTCTAACCGAATGATTGCAGCTAAAGTTACGGAATCATAGTTGGGAAATGATTCATCAACTGAAAATCTTACTAACGCGGGGTTTGCAAAACGATCTACAATGTAATCTAGAATCTGAGTGGCCTAAATAAGGCTTGAAATCTCCAAAATCTATGAAATCTGGATTGATATTTGTTTAGAAATTCAAATTCAAACACTTAGCATATACTACAATTTGACTCATGACAAATTCAAACCCAAACACTTAGCATATACTACGATATTCAACACCACATGTTATTTAATATTACAGTGCATGATCTCATATCAAATCATGGTGACTGGTAGAACTCTTCAGGTACGCAAATGTCCAGATGCCTTGCAGACAGTATAGTTGTATTCATTCAGTTCGAAGTAGAGCAGAAAGGATTGGGTGGTATGGTTAGATTGTCGCCTTCTCTTTCTAACATTTGAACTACAACTTTCATTGGAGGACGATCTATTGGGTGCCATTGGACGCACCATAGACCCACAATGGCAAGTTTCTTTGCAAGTTTAGCATCTCCTTCATCCTCAATATGGATCCGTAGGTCATCCCCTTGTTCTAAAAGGTTATAAATCCATTCCGGGAAGCAGACTTGGCTGGTGGAGTCCTCCATGACCTTAAAGTTTTTTCTGCCACCAACCATTTCCAGCAACAACATCCCGAAACTATAAACATCTGACTTGTAGGACACGCTACCAAAGTTCCTAGAGAACACTTCAGGTGCAATGTAGCCCATGGTCCCCCTGACGGTTGTCATGGATATTGCGCTTTGATCCCTTGCGCATAACTTGGCTAGACCAAAATCGGAAATTTTCGGAGTGAAATTCTGGTCTAGCAAAATGTTATGGGGTTTGATGTCGAAATGGAGGATTCGGTGGTCACACCCTTGGTGAAGATACTCAATTCCTTTGGCTATACCAAAAGCAATATCTTGCAACTTATCCCAACCAAGGAAAGAATTTTTATTATCTGCTGATGATAAAAAGTTTTGTAATGAGCCATTTGGTAAGAATTCATACACAAGAGCTCGTATAAACCCATCAGCACAAAAGCCAACCAAGCGAACCACATTGACATGGTGCACGCGACCCATCGTTCCCATTTCATTTGTAAAATCTTCTCCATTATTTTCATTTGAATTGTTGAGGATTTTCACAGCAACAAGCAATTCAGAGGAAAGCTTCCCTTTAAAAACTGTTCCATAGGCCCCTTGCCCCAACTTGTCCTTGAATTGATTTGTTATCCTCTTAATATCAGCATAGGAATATCTGCTTGGCTTCTGAGCTATCACTACTACATTTTTCACTTTGCGCGACGAAGAAAATTTCGTCGCGCAAAATACATTATAGTCGCACAAATTTTAGCGCGACAGAAACTTCGTCGCGCAGATTCCGTCGCGCAAAGATCGTGGAGAAAGACTTTGCGCGACGAAATTTTTTCATTCGTCGCGCAAAGAGACTTTGCGCGACGAAAAAATATTGGTCGCTCAAAGTGACTTTGCGCGACGAAACATATTGGTCGCGCAAAGTAACTTTGCGCGACGAAAATATTGGTCGCGCAAAGCGACTTTGCGCGACGAAAAAATATTTGTCCCGCAAAGCGACTTTGCGCGACGAAAAATATTGGTCGCGCAAAACTTTGCGCGACGAAAAAATTTTAAAATTTTTTTTAAAAAAAATTCCCTCGTCCCATTTTTAGTACCCGCCCAAATTTTTAGAGTTTTGCGCGACGAATATTAATGTCGCGCAAATATTTGCGCGACGAAATATTTTGGTTTTTGACTTTTTGTTTTATTATTTCTTTAATATTAATTTAATTATATTAATTATTTCGAATTTTTAATTTTTAAATTAAATTTAATTGTATGATTTTTTTCGTTACTTTAATTTAAATTGATATTAATTTAATTATATTAATTTATTCAAATGTTTACTTTTTAAATTTAATTTAATTACTTTAATTTAAATTGACATATTCAAAATAAAATTACATATGAAAAATAGTGATCAAATTATCCAATAAATATATATATAATATTCAAAATGTACACATAAATTAACAAAGTACAATAAATAAAAAAAAGGGATAATCTCCCCTAAAATTGTTATACCACAAATCCAACCCAAACTCCAATCCCTCCCCTTTACTCAACCCCAAACCCCACACAAACTCAAAACTAACTCCAAAAACACATATTAATGAAAAAAAAATTAAAATTTGGAGAGAATCTACCTTTTGGCAAGATTGAGAGTGAGTGAGAATGAGAGAGAGAAATGAGTGTGAGAGAATTAGAGAAGATAGTGATAGAGAGATGAGAGAGTGAGTGAGAGTGAGAGATAGTGAAAAGAGAGATGAGAGAGTGAGTGAGAGTAAGAGATAGTGAAGAGAGAGATGATGAGAGATTAAGTGAGAGGAGTGAGAGTGAGAGAAATGGTGGGATTTGGGGAGAGGGAAAGAGAGAGGAGAGGAAAGAGTAGAGAAAGACATTGAGAAAATGATGGAGGAGTTATTTTTATTTTAAAAACCGTATCACTTTGCGCGACGAACGACATTGAAAGCTTTGCGCGACGAAAAATTGGTCGCGCAAATCTTTGCGCGACGAAAAATATTGGAGTATTGGTCGCGCAAATCTTTGCGCGACGAAAAATTGGAGTATTGGTCGCGCAAAGTTTTGCGCGACGAATATTAGTATATTGGTCTCGCAAAGTCAAAAAAAAATCCCGCGTCCCATTTTTGGTACCCGCCCAAATTTTGAAATTTTTGCGCGACGAAAAATACATATTGGTCGCGCAAAGTCTAAAAAAATTAAATAAAAAAATTCCCGCGTCCCATTTTTGGTACCCGCCAAATTTTTGCGCGACGAAAATATATATTGGTCGCGCAAAGTCTAAAATTTTTTTTTTTCATCCCGCGTCCCATTTTTGGTACTCACCCAAATTTTTAAAGTTTTGCGCGACGAATTGTTGGTCGCGCAAACTTTTGAGAGACGAAAAATTGGTTCATAGCACGATATTTATAAAAATAATTGTTATGAATAATAAAATTATTTTTTTTACGATTTAAAATATAAATAAGGTTAAAGCTACTTAATAAATGTATATACCAATTTCTTAAGTGTTATACGTACAAAATAAATAAATTTAAAGCTACTTAATAAGTAAATATATATATATATATACACACACCATTCAACGATCCAACCGTCAAACTTGTTTGTATATACTTCAAGATCGTATACCCCAAAAATTGTAAAAAACAAACATTCGGAGACCTAGTAACGGGACAAAAAATTTCAACGGTTCTTAATGAAAAATCACGATTTAACGGTTATTTTAACTCCGATTTTGATGATTTTTTACAGCTACACTCCTTGACCCTATATGAATACAATGAACTAATTCGATCGTCAATTTAAAATATTTACACTAGTGGATACCACAAAATCTTATGTTATACTTAACAAAAGTATAAATAAACTCTTAATTGTTAGTGAATATATTGTTTTGATGGCATACGCATTCAAAAAAACAAGTTTCAACGATCCAACCGTCAAACTTATTTGTTTATACTTCGAGATCATATACGCCAAAAATCGCAAAAAATAAACATTCAGAGATCAAGTAACGGGACAAAACTTTTCGACGGTTATAAATGAAAAATCTTGATTCAACGGTTATTTTAACTCCGATTTTGATGATTTTTTACCGCTACACTCCTTTACCCTATATGAATACAATGACTGAATTTGATCTTCAATTTAAAATATTTACACTAGTGGATACCACAAAATCTTATGTTATATTTAACAAAAGTATAAATAAACTCTTAATTGTTAGTGAATATATTGTTTTGATGGCATACACATTCTATGAAACTAGTTTGAACGATCCAACCGTCAAACTTGTTTGTTTATACTTCGAGATCATATACGCCAAAAATCGCAAAAAATAAACATTCAGAGATCAAGTAACGAGACAAAACTTTTCGACGGTTATAAATGAAAAATCATGATTCAACGGTTATTTTAACTCCGATTTTGATGATTTTTTACCGCTACACTCCTTTACCCTATATGAATACAATGACTGAATTTGATCTTCAATTTAAAATATTTACACTAGTGGATACCACAAAATCTTATGTTATATTTAACAAAAGTATAAATAAACTCTTAATTGTTAGTGAATATATTGTTTTGATGGCATACGCATTCTATGAAACTAGTTTGAACGATCCAACCGTCAAACTTGTTTGTTTATACTTCGAGATCATATACGCTAAAAATCGGAAGAAATAAACATTCAGAAATCAAGTAATTGGACAAAACTTTTCGACGGTTATAAATGAAAAATCACGATTTAACGGTTATTTTAACTCCGATTTTGATGATTTTTTTTATAGCTACACTCTTTGACCCTATATGAATACAATGAACTAATTCGATCGTCAATTTAAAAAATATATTTTCTAATAAAAACCCAATCCAAAAAACAATAATATATTTTTCTAACAAATATTTTAAAAAATATTTTATTTATTTTATTTATTTTTATAAGGACTTTGCGAGACGAAGTTAATTGTTTCGTCGCGCAAAGTAGCTTTGCGTGACGAATTGTTTTTCGTCGCGCAAAGTCGCTTTGCGCGACGAACTGTTTTTCGTCGCGCAAAGTTACTTAGAGCGACGATTTTTTTTTGTCGCGCAAAATTTGGTCGCGCAAGACTTTGAGCGACGACGTATTGTCGTCGCGCAAAGTCGCTTTGAGCGACGAAAAAAAATTCGTCGCGCAAAAGTTGGTCGCGCAAGGTTTTTAGCGACGAAGTTTTGAGTTTCGTCGCGCAAAGTGTCTTTGCGCAACGAAAAATTATTCGTCGCGCAAAATTTGGTCGCGCAAGGGTTGTTTTGTAGTAGTGTATGTAATCTTCCAAAAATCTTTCAATCCTCAACTGATTTTTTTTGTCTAATATTTTCTTGGAGCTATAGGCATGGTAGATGATGAGAGCCCCCACCGCTATAAGAGCCACAGAAATTGTGCAAACTGCAGATAGAGTTGACACAAATTAACCTAATCACATGTGATTCAGATTTATAGTCCAGCAGTGCAAGTGCTTTAATTTATGGACAACTCACCTGATATCTTTATGTGTGTCCCTTTACGGCTAATATCTGTAAAAGTTGTTATTTAAGTTAATAAAGTACTTTTGCTATCAAACCAATATAATTCTGAGTCCTGACTAATCAGATTGAATGACTGAAAATAAATAATATTTGCTTTCAAAGTACTGCAACAAAGCCAAGTTTAGTTAAATGATACCTTCAGGGAAATCTAAACATTCGCTTTCTGCAGTCTGAACTTGTGCAAGACTATAGTTGCTAATCTTTGATCTACATGCCTTGCCCATCTCTTTGCAATGTCGACATGATGGTTTGGACCAGTGCAACTTCGTAATTTTGTTCATTCCAAAGTTTGATGATATGTCTGGAATTGATGTATAGTCGTGCAGCTTGGTACAAGACTCTAGGGGCAGTCTATCAACAGAACATTGAGTGTTGACAGCATATATACCGTTTTCAGGATTGTCAAGGTCGGAAGGGCTCCATTGCATCATACAAAAGCTTGTGTATGCATACGTTTCCCTTGGATATGAACAGCTAAATAGGGTATAATTATAGTAATTGTGTCCAGGTACAAATTGTAAGGGAGAAGAAGATAAACTGAAGTTTAAAATATTTCCTGGGTAATTAACATAAGATATTTCAATCTCCTGAGATGTGTACTTAATCTTTTCAACGAAGAGGTTGTTAGATGAAGATGGCATCTCGAGCAGAGTCTGGTTGTCGTTAGTGCATGATAGATCAAAGCCATGGTAACCACAATAAATTGACTGCTTACCTTTAAGTCGAAATGGGAATCGGATGGCTGGGCCGTCCGGTTTACATCTTTCTTCTTTGCAAATTTCAAGGCCTACTCCGCCATGGACTGCATAGACATCTACTACTATGAGCAACCAGCATAAGAAATTGATCAGAAGCATTATTCTAACAACAAAATGGCTTGCAGCATTCCGGTCTCTTGCTAAGTTATTAATTGATTGTATACGACAGATATGGTTTTCGCGGATCTTAAAATATTCATATATAAAAAATTGATGTCTATCATTGGAGTGGTTTTCGCGGATTGTTTGGCAAAACTATCTATATATTTTAGTTATTATTCACAGTTACAATAATTTTATATTAAAATTTACCAAATGGTTTTGACACTTCTTTTTGTACTAACATCACTTTAAAAATATTGTTTACCAAACATGGAGTTGTTTTAATTTACAGCTAATTATTTTCAAAGCACAGTATAAACAACTTTGTTTTTAAGTAACAGTAATTCCAAACTGGCCCTTAATCCAATGGCCTTTATTAAATAGGACCTCTCATGACCTTATTTTAAGATCCTTAAGTGAGTGAGACTGTTTTATTAAATACGACTTATATTTTATTAATTTTTCAGCCAAATTATTTTGAAAAATTGAGTGATAAAATGGAAAATGCATTCACAACTTCATCACTGATTGAAAACGAGTCTAAAGATAATGTGGTCCAGTGTAATTTAAGCAGCTGATACTGTGTCACATTGGTGTTCACTCATATATGTCAATCAGAGAGCACATGCTGGTCAAGTGTGAATGTTGAAAAAACAGAGCAATACAAGTTAGGAAAAAAAAATCTTAAATATATGTTGACTGCAGACCCAGGTCTTGGTCTTGGTCTTCTTTCTACTTATTTAATATTCAATAATATTTAATCGTTGATATATTCATTATATATAGTTTGGTAATTAACTAATTCGCCGCCTAACAAAAAATGATAATAAGTTTTGGAAACTTGTCACTTAAACTTCATTAGCTACGCATGATATATTCATTATTTATAATTTTCTATTGTCATGTCATACTAATGATTGTGAATGCTTTTGCTTATTCATTATTTGGGGGGTCAACAATACAGATTTTTCAATATTTTCTCAACAGTTACAAAAATTTAATATAAATTTTATATGAAATGCTGAAGTAGCCGACAATGGGACGCGTAATCCGTGCAGCATTGACAAAGTGGGGAAGCAAAGTTGATTGGCAGCACTTCGTCCTTTGGAGAAAGGCAGAGTTTTATTGTTGAGCAACGTTGATTGGCAGCACTTTCTGAAGTCACTCCTTTCTTATTTGCCATAGACACGGAACATTAAGTTGTCTATAATTAATATGCCCTCTTCCTTAATTTCGAAAATTCCTATTGGATTGAATGCCTCTTCCCTTCCTCCTAATATTCTCTCTCATTATGTCTAGAGGAAGTCTCCTATTTGCAGCACACATAGCCCTTCTCCTTCTCCTTCTCCTTCTTCCTCCTTCCTTCTGTTTCCAAACATCCACCGTGGAAGATATTACCCTTTGTGGCAATATCAACATAAAGTATCCATTTCAATTAAACAGAGACCTTCAAAACTGTGGCTATTACTATTTTGATCTATATTGTGAGGAGAATGTTACAGTAATATGCTTGTATTCGGGAAGGTATTACGTAAAGGCGATCAATTACAGTGACTGGACAATCCGAGTTGTGGATGCTGGTGTTCAGAAGAAAGACAACTACTTCTCCAACGCACTTTACTCTTTAACCTCCTACAACCTTAGTGGTTATGGAGATCCTTTGTCATCTTTTTCTTATAATAGCAAAAAAGATATTCAAGAACTCCGACTGTATAGTCTAGCGATACGTGAAGTGCCTATAATTTTTATCAGCTGTGCAAATCCAATGCATTCTCCTCGCCTTGTTGATACAGCTCCATGCATCAACAATTCTGCCAATTCTTCTTTGTCCAGTACTTTAAGAATGTTTTCTTATGTCATGATTGGCAACATAAGTTCATTCGATTTGGGGGAGTCCTGCAGAATAACACAAATGGTTGTGGTGTCACCTTCAACATCTACAGATCTGCACCGGAACTTGTCCTGTGAAGGTATATATAATGAAATAGCGAGCGGCTTTGAGCTCTCATGGTTTAACGCTGCATGTAACTTATGTAGACTGGATATGGAGAACTGCACGCTCGACAACGTGAGTAAAACCAAGTGCCCTGGAATAACCAACAAAGGTACTATAGTGCATCTGTTTATGATTTCGCAGATTGTTTGGCAAAACTATCTATATATTTTAGTCATTATTCACAGTTACAATAATTTTATATTAAAATTTACCAAATGGTTTTGACACTGCTTTTTGTACTAACAACACTTTAAAAATATTGTTTACCAAACATGGAGTTGTTTTAATTTACAGCTAATTATTTTCAAAGCACAGTATAAACAACTTTGTTTTTAAGTAACAGCAATTCCAAACTGGCACTTAATCCAATGGCCTTTATTAAATAGGACCTCTCATGACCTTATTTTAAGATCCTTAAGTGAGTGAGACTGTTTTATTAAATACGACTTATATTTTATTAATTTTTCAGCCAAATTCTTTTGAAAAATTGAGTGATAAAATGGAAAATGCATTCACAACTTCATCACTGATTGAAAACGAGTCTAAAGATAATGTGGTCCAGTGTAATTTAAGCAGCTGATACTGTGTCACATTGGTGTTCACTCATATATGTCAATCAGAGAGCACATGCTGGTCAAGTGTGAATGTAGAAAAAACAGAGCAATACAAGTTAGGAAAAAAAAATCTTAAATATATGTTGACTGCAGACCCAGGTCTTGGTCTTGGTCTTCTTTCTACTTATTTAATATTCAATAATATTTAATCGTTGATATATTCATTATATATAGTTTGGTAATTAACTAATTCGCCGCCTAACTTTGACAAGCAAATATCATTAAATTTGATGAGTACGACAGGATGAGTCTCCAGCATAGTAGCCGACAATGGGACGCGTAATCCCTGCAGCATTGACAAAGTGGGAAAGCAGAGTTGATTGGCAGCACTCTATCCTTTGGAGAAACGCAGTGTTTTATTGTTGAGCATGGTTGAGTGGCAGCACTTTCTGAAGTCACTCCTTTCTTATTTGCCATAGACACGGAACCTAAGTTGTCTAATTAATATGCCCTCTTCCTTAATTTCGATAAATTCCTATTGGATTGAATGCCTCTTCCCTTCCTCCTAATATTCTCTCTCACTATGTCCAGAGGAAGTCTTCTATATGCTGCACACATAGCCCTTCTCCTTCTCCTTGTTCCTTCTTCCTTCTGTTTCCAAACATCCACCCTTTGTGGCAACATCAACATAACGTATCCATTTCAATTAAAGGGAAGCCTTCAAAATTGTGGCTACAACAAATTTGAGCTATATTGTGGTAGGGAAAATGTTACAGTAATGTGCTTGTATTCGGGAAGGTATTACGTAAAGGCGATCAATTACAGTGACTGGACAATCCGAGTTGTGGATGCTGGTGTTCAGAAGAAAGACAACTACTTCTCCAACCCACTTTACTCTTTAACCTCCTACAACCTTAGTGATCGTGGAGATCCTTTTTCATCTGTTTTTTATAATAGCGACAAAGATATTCAAGAACTCCGACTGTATAGTCTAGCGATACGTGAAGTGCCTATAATTTTTATCAGCTGTGCAAATCCAATGCATTCTCCTCGCCTTATTGATACAGCTCCATGCATCAACAATTCTGCCAATTCTTCTTTGTCCAGTACTTTAGGAATGTTTTCTTATGTCATGATTGGCAACATAAGTTCATTCGATTTGGGGGAGTCCTGCAGAATAACAAAAATGGTTGTGGTGTCACCTTCAACATCTACAGATCTGCACCGGAACTTGTCCTGTGAAGGTATATATAATGAAATAGCGAGCGGCTTTGAGCTCTCATGGTTTAACGGTGCATGTAACTTATGTAGAATGGGTAAGGAGAACTGCACGCTCGACGACGTGAGTAAAACCAAGTGCCCTCCAATAAAAGGTACTATAGTGCATCTGTTAATGATTTCACTTATTCAATAACGCTAGCTAGAGTCAACATATTTGTTCTCGATCCTCCAGATGATGTCAGTAATATGCAGCGCTGTTAAATATCTTCTTCACCTCCCACCAAGCCTTATTTATTCATTTGACTACTGTTTTTTCATTTTTTTTATTTTATAGAAAAGAGCGATAGTATTATTGCTTGATACAGGGAATAAGTAACAGTGCCACAAAAATCGGACAATGTCGTTGGGAATTAGGCAAGTTTATCTACACATACAGGCTCGATCATCGAGTCATCCGACTAACTTAGTAGTCTTACCCACTCAACCGCAAAGCGGGGGTAGGAACCTAACCACCGATAGAGTACCCCATGTCCCCCTAAGATCATGCCCGTAGAAAAATTACATGTTACATTCCTCAACTAAGAGATCACTAATAAAGTCTGGAGGTTCCTCGAACCAAGTAATGGTAGAACCCACCCATTTAACTTTAATTCTTCATATTTGGTAAATTTCCTTAGTCGTCAAATTTCTCGCTTGATTGTACTTTTGACTTGTATAGGTTACCATTCTTAGTTTCATTGTCTTGTATATCGAGCTTTGCCCTTTTAAATAGACACAGAATCATTACCGAATTATTTCACATTAACATGGTATCAGAGCATGTCTCTATCCTTGGTTAATCCCGTGAGAAAGATAAGAATGTGATGGATGTGAAACTTTACACATTGACAAGATTTTGTTGTCAAATAACATTTCACGCTGTTTTCATGTGTAGAGATTGATATATTACAGTCATCTACTATAGATATATTATGTTAGAGTTAGAGATACTGATCAAAGAAATAGGAAGAGAGTTTTTATCAAGAGATATTTAGTGATATACCCATTTCTAGCACTAATATATTACAGTCATCTACGGGAGGCTATGACGTATTGATTTCTAATAATGTATTATGATCTTTTTGTATGCAAAATATGAATCTTATTTTCTTTTGCAATGCAGGAAAAATATGGGAGATACTGTTGGAGATCTTAGAGGACATATACTATACAGCAGGCAAAGTAGCTGACTCTGTAGCATTAATTTCATCAAAGTATACTTAATTGAATTATGAATTTATGATCGAGTTTTTCACTTGTGTTGCAGCATGGGTATTCCAGTTGTATTTCTTTGCGCTCACCAACAAGTGCAACAGTAATGTCCCCCTTCCTTGGCTTCCAGTAAGCTGTGTAATCTCTTACCTAGGTAATGTGAACTACTTGAAATCAGTTACTGTGTAGCAATTTGCAGTTTTAGCTGAAGAGATAGAGAGACAAAATGAGAAAGAAAGGAGGAGAGGGAGAAAATGGAATGAAATGTTGCACAAAAAGAAAACTGATTAAAAGCAACAACTAAAAACTAAACACGAGAAGGCTACCAGACGCCCGGGCCCTTCACTAATGAAAAATGTTGTACTAAGGAAAATGTGATAGTGTTGTAGCAATCAATTAATGTCTCTATTGAGTCCACTTTTTGTGAACTGCGCAGGAATATTGCACACAGTCTTATATGTGTTTGGCTTTCCCTGTGCAACTGCATTAATAATATACAAATGGAGAAGGAGGCATTTGTCAGTGCATCACAATATAGAAGACTTTTTGCAGAACAATGAGCTCGTGCCAGTAAGGTACTCCTACTCAAACATAAAAAAGATGGCCAAAGGTTTCAAGGAAAAATTGGGTGAAGGAGGCTATGGCTCGGTGTACAAGGCAAAGCTTCGTAGCGGTCGCCTGGTAGCCATCAAGATGTTGGGTAAGTCCAAAGCTAATGGGCAAGACTTCATCAATGAAGTTGCTACCATTGGAAGGATTCACCATGTCAACGTGGTGCGACTCATTGGCTTCTGTGTTGAGGGTTCAAAGCGTGCTCTCGTATACGACTTCATGCCTAATGGATCTCTCGATAAATACTTATTTTCTCAACAAGGAGTTATCTCTTTGAATTGTGAGAAAATGTTTGAAATTGCTCTTGGAGTGGCTCGTGGTATTGAATATTTGCACAAAGGATGTGACATGCAAATTCTGCACTTTGACATCAAACCTCATAACATTCTTCTTGACGAGAATTTTCTTCCCAAGGTGTCTGATTTTGGATTAGCAAGGCTATGCCCGCTTGATAATAGCATTGTATCTTTGACGGCAGCAAGAGGAACTATTGGATACATAGCACCAGAGTTATTCTATAAAAACATTGGAGGTATTTCATACAAAGCTGATGTCTATAGTTTCGGAATGCTGTTGATGGAAATGGCTGGCAGAAGAAAGAATTTAAATGCAACCATAGAGAAGTCAAGCCAAATATACTTTCCAACATGGGTTTTTGACCAATTGAGTGATGGAAAGGACATAAAAGTTGAAGACGCCACAGAGGAGGAAGAGAAGATCATAAAGAAGATGATCATTGTGGCATTGTGGTGCATACAAATGAAGCCTAGTGACCGTCCGTCTATGAATAAAGCAGTCGAGATGCTTGAAGGAGAAATTGAGTGCCTTGAAATGCCTCCAAAGCCTTTTTTGTATCCACAACAAATGCCAGAAGTGGCTCCTGGGGACAATTCAAGTACCACAAGTGCATCAACAGTAACAAATTCTACAGAAATCGTTTTGATTGCTGATGCGAATCAAACAATGTAATATATAGCAATCTTGATGTGCAAGAGAGATTACGTACTGAATAAGCAGAATTAGACTTCTGTTTGCTGCCTTTGTTTACTACATTTGGAAGGAAATAAATTGTAGGATTTTCAGAATCGCTTCTTGCCCCCTTGCTGTAACACTCAAATTGTAGGATTTTCAGTAATTGCAGAATTCTATTGGGTAGGCTGTGCTCCATAGAGTGTTTAAAACCTCACCTGCTAACTCCTATCTTGTTGCAGATTGGAAGATCCCTATGAGCTAATTGCTGTTAGGGTTTGTTGTATTGTTAGCTTGGGATTGTCTTCTATTGGTAGGATTTGCCCTCCTTTTTGTTAATACATTCATTTAATTACAAAAAGAATAAATAAAAAAACAAGTCCATATATCCTATCAAGTGCTTTCACAATTCTACACTCAAAGGAAACACTTTGAAGCTAGAATTACATTTAGATATGTGCAAGTAGCAGTTTCCCCAAGATATTGCAAATGGGGCAGCAGGTCAAAACCACTAACCCTCAAGGCTCAAGCTAAGCTGATTCACAATGGAATTCATACAAATATTGTCTTACCCCCTACGCCACTAAAGTTTGTCCACCTTCCCATCATGCTAATTTGAACTACAATAGTTTATGTATAACCTAAAATGAAGAAGTTACAAGCTCAAATCAAATTGTATTCATGCCTTCAAACACATTCATGAGAAACATGATATAGCTCCCCTTTGCTGAAGGTCTGTCAGCTTAAGGATCTTCAGGTTCTTCATCCTTATCTTCTGCATCCACCCACCACGAAACAGGGCCCAAACCATCAAAATCAATTGAACCCTGCAAAATAGGAAACTTAATTGGAGGCTCATAGAATTCATTGGAAATCTACTTGCCAAAAGAGATCCCTCATTTAATTTGAACAAAGATGTAACAAAAGAATTAGTGTTACCCTACATAAAGGAATTAGCACAGATTTTAAAGGGAACAGAAGTTTCACAAAGCAGCATTTTGCAATAATTCATTGCCTTAGGAGAATTGTAGAGAACTAGAGATCAGGTGATGCTACAGCTAGATGCAACCACCAGTCGTATGATAAGATTCAAAGCATAAACTTACTGTAACCACCATAGGGGCAAATGGTTTTGAGTCTTCTGGCTGCTCAATTGGAATTGGAGGAAAGTTCACACTGTGAACTTGGAATTTTATCTGCCATTTGGAACTAAAAGTTAGCATACACTAGGGCACCAGAAATTTGAGTACGTATGGATAAATCAAACCACAACAATATGAACCTGGTCTATCCCATCAATAACAAGTTCTTCATCTGAATCAGGAAACTTCCATATCCACATGACTCTATCCCTGTAATCCTCAGCAAATATTATAAACTACAAATTAAAGGGTGCTTAAAAATATATCAATATACAAGAATTCATGCAGGATTATAAATTTAACACTCTATTTGTACTTATATCAACCAGACATGGAAGGGATGGTCACCTCTTTCCTGGGTCAGGCACAGAATGGGATGGAACAGGCAAAAGATGAACAGGTACATAAATATCATCAAAAAATTCGAGGGACACTGCCATTTAAAGATTCAAAATCAGACTATGGGTAAGACATAGACATGCTTCCTTATCAAAGAGGAGTCCATCAATGCATAGAGTGAGAATTGCTTGCACCAAAGAGAAACTAAGAAGGAAAAACTAACTGAGACGTAGAATTAAGCTACACTCAGTTCATCCCAGTAGAATACATACAACGTAAACCATTTGCAGTAGATTCTTTAAGTTTTGCAACAATTATCTCTCCCACAAATGGACGAAACATAATCAGTGTGAACTCCACCTGCCAAGTGTTGAAAAAGGGGGGAAATAAAACAAGAAACTTTAGAAAGGAAGAAGAAGAACATTGCATAGTGCATACTCAAATGAAAGGAGTATTCTGACATTAATTTCTCTGGTAATCATCTCTGAATCAGACATTAATTTAAGCTGAATATCTGAATTTAGTCTAAATGCCTAAGAGTCACCCATTAAGTGTAAACAACAAATAATCAGCCTATAACAGTGATACTCACTCTCAAGGTAATTAGCAACTTCAATTTCATAGAGAAGACAGGCCTTAGTTGTCAGTTTTGTCACCCACAAGGAATGAAGTAAATCAAGCTGAGAACCGAGAAGAAATCCAAGCAAAAAGATATAAAGGAACCTATGTCATAGTAATGGGAAAAAGAGAAGAAGCTGTCCATTTCTTTCTTTGTTCCTTATTTCTAGGGTAAGGGTAGCAGTGGGGTTAGATCTCAAGAGCTTGTTGCTCTGATTCCATGTTTCAGAAAAACCAAACAAACAAAATTAGGATATAGAGAAGAGGATCATTGTATATTACATATTGTCATATCAAATGAAGGTAGAGTATATTAATTTATGTAGGATCCAGGGAATGAATTCTCCGCTAATCAGCAGCTCCAATTTAAGCTAACAATCAGCCATTAAATAATCAATTTAACAAGTAATGAATGGCTAGCTAGCAGGCAGGCACTGACTTACAAGTAATGAATTTAGGTGATGAATTCTAATTACACATAAAAGATATCAATCTTCTGCAGCCGGTGCACAAAGAACAATGATATGCTTCCTTGTTTCAAAATCATTTTAGGTTGAAAACTCTTCGACTCAAACAACCAAACAAAACTCATTTGTGTTTTCATACAACAAAATATTACATAACTCAAAGTCAGTCAAAAAATCAAAATCCAGTAGTTCAAAGCATTCCTTACAGAGAAGTATTTTATCAAACATGACAAATTTGATTAAAACCCATCAAATCCTGATAAGAGATAGAGTAAAAAATGCCAACCTTTCAATCAAGACCTGTACAAAACCACTAGACCACAATGGAAGACTAATCATCAAAATAGATGCAATCACCAAATTTAAGAAATATAAGTTAGAGCATCCACAAAGGACTCCCTAAACCACCTCCTTAGACAAATTTTAGGGAGCAATTGGAAAAATACAACTCCAACCATGCTCCCTATCCACGTCCTAAAATAGAGAGATCTCTAGGAGCTCCTAAATCTGAGAAGAGAGAAAGGACTCCTAGTGGCTCCTTATAATTTAATGCTCAATTAATTTAATAGTATTTTAACCATTTATTTAATGCCAACTATTTTTTGTTGTTGCTTTTGTGTCCATACTTTAATCAAAAATTGAATTAAAAATTATTAAAAGCATTTATGAATCTTTAAATTAGGGAGTACGGTTGGAGTTGAAATTTTTTATAGAGCTCATAAAATAGCTTTATAGTGTTTTAAGCTAAATTTTAACTAAAAAATAGAGAGCATGATTGTGGATGCGCTTACAGACTGACGCTTAATGCCAATGCATTGAAAACTAAACAAGTATGCTCTAAAAGCCGTTCCATTCTCCCTCAAAACTTTTTGAGTGAAACATGTTACAAATGCAAATCCACAACTTTATTATAATCCAAAGCAGCTCCAATAAAATTTATTCCACTACATACCTAAAAGAACGATTATAGTTATTACAAAACTAAACCAATCATTAACCCTTAATGCGACCCAATACCCTCTCTGAAACCATTAAATCTTTACCATCCATCAGCTAAAACACCAAAGTTTCCCAATTTTCTTCTGTAACCAAAGACAAAAAACCAACAAAAACAATCCACAAACAAGCGAAATTACCTGACCAAAACAAGCCTACTTAAGCACACCATTATCACCAATCAACAAACAAAATTTGGATATAGAGAAGATCAGTGTCTATTACATATTAAGCTAAAGGCCTAATAATCTATATCAACGATACTAAGTATTTAGATTGGCGGTTCTTGTGCACCGAGCAGTTTAACCGGAAATAAATTGAGGTATCTTACAATTTAAAATTGGAAAGAATATGAATAAGAATAAGAAAATGGATTGAAGCAAGCAAGCTGACTCCACTTATACGAACTAAAAGAACCTAAATTTGAACAAAACAGAATTTACCAAAAGCACTTTATAGTCATAAAATTGAGAAGAGTAAGGTAAACAAATATATACCCTAAAAGTGGGATGACCATCATTAGGTAAGATAAAGCCATCCTTAATGGATTGGATACTATGCACAGAAATGCAAAGTCCCAAGTTGGCGATAACCTACAAGGAACAACATCACAGTGAATCAAAGTAAAAACATTGTGAATAAGAAACAAAGGGCAAAATTCAAAATATGTATCAGCTCACAAACCTTATCTAAGAAAAGCTTCTCAAGCTCTCCCCTAACTGCATCTTCTAGACGAAGGCTAAGCAGATGAGGAGGCAGACGCAGAGTGTGCTCAATTCGGCTGAGGTAGAACATTTGGGTTGTCTTCTAAATTATATTCCAAAATCAAGTATGCACAGATTAAAGTCACAGATTTTGGGGAAAGAATGCAATGTTAAATATCAACAAATTCAAGCATAATTGAAAAAAATTACCAGCCTCAGTTTCCGACAATAGCAAGTAGCGTCCTAATATGAACCAGTGTTTTTGCGTCGGCCCGAGGCGGTCGGCTGCTTCAATACTTGGTAGAATCCTGCTACAACACATGCATTACATTAACCAAACAATAATTTACAAATGGAAATAAAAGACATACTTTGGCTCCTTTTCAGTAAAACGGGAAAGAAAAAAAAAGGAAAGAGAACCCAATAAAAGACATGCTTGAGATTATACATAATTGAAATAGAACTCAATAAAAGATTTTAACTGAAAAAACCATTCCTACACAACCAGTTCCAACACTTACCTGAAAAACCATTCAAAAATATAACCACAATCAATTCACCAAATTCAAAAAAAATAAAAAAAAAAAAAAAAAAAAAAAAAAAAAAAAAAAACAGAAACAACTCAATTGAATGAAGTGGAAGGAGATGGGGAAATGGGTGCTTGTTAGATCTGATTCATTCAATTTTAAAAGGCTAGCTTAATAAGACATCACAGGAAGCACCAAATAAGTGGTACTACACTTAGACACCAATACTAAGGGAAAGAAAAATAATTGCTAAACCGACACGTTAATCCATGGGACGATGACCCTGCAGCTAGCTTATATATAAAATATACAGACAACTCTGCAGCTAGCTTATATCTAAACTATAAAGAGAACTCAATAAGCAACATTGGCAAAAAAATCAATAATAATAACCAAAAAAAAACATAAGCTCACAGACAAAAGCAAAGGAACCTTGAAATGAATACACACCCACATGACCAACTTCCAACTTCTAACTTTTTACTTCAATTATACAAATCCAACACCACAATGCAATTTCAACACCTCCCTTTTTGGGTCTGTTAATCAAAATAGATCCTTGATAATTGCATCGAAGCATCACCATCTCAAATTACCTAAAACAAAGAAAACCATCTAGAAAAGTAAATTCTTCTATTTGATTAACTCAAAGAAAACCATCTAGAAACAAAACAAGCCTTAGGCCTTTTGGAGGTAAGTCCTGAACCCCAAATGATTAGATAAAAGCAAATTAACTAGTAGTTCTAAAGCCACAATCTAACTAGGCAAATCCTAAACACCAAATGATTAGATGAAAGCAAACTGGTAGCTCTAACACCACAATCTCAGTATATATTCATTTCCTCTCTCTCACCTTCCCAACAAAGACAGACATGCTAACTGCGAAGGTTGTATAACTGATCAAATAATTATAACCCTCCTCACCTAAATCCCTCATCTCCCACCACTTATAAAAACCCTCTCAAACCCCCCAAAACTCATATAAAACACTTGCATAAAATATCAAACACCTTGTGCAAGCACCACTCCTGCATTGGCATTACTTGTTTTCAAGCAAATTAAGAAGCCAAAACCCACCACACTCAAAAACTTGATAATTAAGCTTCAGAATCAGCCTCTTCTCTCACTCACACTTCTACTCATTTTCCTTTCCCATTGCACCAAAATCTTAGCCCAAGCTCCTGCTGCAGGGCCAGCAGTTCCAGCACCACCAGCTGATGCCCCTGCACCTGCAGGCCCAACCAACATCACAAAAATCCTTGAAAAAGCAGGTGGCTTCAATGTCTTAATCCTCCTTTTGAAATCCAACACAGATGTTCCCCTGTACTATGCATATTCAAAAACATTCATAATCTTACATGAATTAACATAAACAAAACCAGAAATCTTGTATTGGGTCTGTCAATCTGTCAATCCCTTTTTTGTAATAATCTTACATGACTTATGCTGTATTAGAAAGAAAGTAAATTAAACATCTTGCTAGTCTTCTGAAGAGAAACTTCAGAGGCTCTTCCAAAGGAACGAATCTAACAGCAATACACTTACAAAATCACAAATCCAACACCACAATGCAATTTCAACACCTCCAATCAAATCTGAAATCAAAAATAAAAATCCAATACCACAAATAAATATAGAAATTGAAAGAGCAAAGGAAAAAGGGAGATGATACCTTGATACAGACAGCGGATGCGAGAGGGGGGCGGCGGTGGTGACTGGTGAGACCGTGAGAGGGAGACGGAGATGGTGAGAGAGACACGCAGAGGGAGACACGGTGATAGAGGGAGGCCGTTGTCGATGGTAGCACAGACGTGGAAATGCCGATTATGAAATTGAAAGTAGAGGGGACCTTAGGTTTTCAACGATGGAGGGTTTGGGTTGGAGAGAGAGGAAGAGAATTTAGGGTCAGAGAGGGCGAAAGAGAGAGAGAGGGTTTGTGGTTTGGTTAGGGAAGAGAGAGAGAGAGAGAGAGAGAGAGAGAGCAATTTCGAAGGAATAAAACCGCGAAATGAAAATTTTGTGAAAAAAAGGCGCTCACGCGAAATTAATTTTATGAATTCTTTAAGATAAAAATAATAAATAACAATTTTTAAAATTTTCATTTTTATGAATTGTTTAAGATAAAAATAATAAATAACAAGAAAAGAACACATGTCACCACGTTCTACGGCCACATGTCATAAATACTGACAGAGAGCCTTTAAAAAGCTAACACATGTCAAATAGTTTATATTTCTTATTATTTCCTTACAATTTAACTTCTAAAATTCATAATAAATAAATTGCAAATCAGAAAAATACACCAAAAATTTCTAAGAACTCCTTGTGACATTTTATTCACCTTACAACTCCCAAAATCTAATTTTGAATCATAAAAATATAAAGTAATAACAAAAACCCAATTTTATTTATAGACAAATCAAAACATTATACCACCTTATAATCTTGTTTATTTGATCCATTGATTATCATTAACTCAAATATTTGGAATCATGAATTTAGATCTCATAATTGAATCCTATATTTTAAGGAGTATGTAGCAATTTTTGGTGTATTTTTCTGATTTTGATTTAATTTCTTATGAGTTGTTTACTTCTATAACACAATAAATTACAAGAAAATGACATAATAAATAAATAAATAATCCCAAAAATACACAGATAATTCCTATAAACTCATTGTGATATTCTCTTCTCTTTAAAGCTCCAAAAATATAATTATAAATTATAAAAATACAAAGCAATAATAAAAACTTAACTTTCTTCATAGACAAATCAAAACATTTTATCCAATACACTATTGTTTCTTTGATTCAATGATCTCCCATATTAAAATATGTGGAATTATGATTTTAGATCTCCATAAGAGCATCTCCAGCGCCAGACCCAAACCAGGGGAAAGGCCCCCACGGCGAGCCCAAGCGCCCTCCAGCGCGAGAGAAGAAGCCAGAGCAAGAGCTGGGTCCCACCAGCTAGGGTAGGCCCAAGGGCAAGTTTCGCTTGGGCTTCAGCCCGAGGGCTGTGACGTCAGCACTGACGGTCACAGCACGGTAATATAATTTTTTTTTTACCGTTGGCGCAAGAATTTCACGCGCCAAAAGTAAAAAAAATTTGATTTTCGCTCATTGACAGGCCCCAACGGGAATATGCCACGTGGCACTTCCTGGACGCTCCGATGCAATTTTTTCTAGAAATTTGACTGCCTTGATTTTTTTGGCTTAAAAAATTGCAAAAAGAATCGAAAAAAATTCAATTTTTTTTATAAAAAAAATACCAAAAAATTCTGGATTTTTTCCCTATAAATACCTAACAATTTTATTCACTTTCCACACCAAATCTTCACACAAACTCATTTCCTTCCAATATTTTTCATTTTCCACACCAAATTTTCTACTACAAAATTTCATTTGTGCAAAAATACAAATGTCATCTTCCATCGAAGCCGGAGGGTCGTGGACAAATGTTCGAAGAGGTCAAAATCTTGGCAACGAGGTAAAAAAAAATTTAAAATTTCCATTTTATTATATATATATATATATATATATTTCTTGCATTTCCAATTTCTTTTTTTAATAGATTAGTCAAGGCAAAACAAAAAAGAGGAAAACCATTACACATGACTCCTCAAGTGAACAATACCCGCAGTCAGTTCCAGTGGTGCGTTCCATGTCAGAAATAATGGCACTATTACGTCCTCCGAAGGAAAATACTCCCCCAAGTCGTGATCCAGTGGAATCGCCTCTGCCAATGATGGAGTTGTCATTGTATTCCATTGTGTCAGACTATGAGGACCAAGAATATTTCAATTGCATGATAAGTGAGTAGGTATTTAAATTGTATGATGAGTGAGATGTGAATTTTATAATAAATATGGACACGTGGTAACTGAAAATTTTATCAGAAAAATGTTATCTTAAATTTTAAGTGAAAATTTTATAATAAATAGTGACACGTGACAACCGAAAATATAATCTAAAAAGCTTATCAAAATTAATGGTTTAAAGTATAAAAAATATAGGAAATAAAGTACAATGAATAGTATTTGTCTTAGACTTGCCCTAGACTTAGCCTTCATGAGTGGAATCACAAATGGCAAGGCTGACACTATTCACATGAATAATGGCAGCCCTTGCTTGCCCTTACCCAAGACTTAGCCCTTGTGGGTGGAGATGCTCTAATGGATGACTATTTCGTAAGAGCATCTCCATCGTAAACACAAAACCGGGCAAAAGGCCCCCGGACCAAGCCTAAACAGCCTCCAGCGTGAGAGAAGAAGCCCGGGCAACAGCTGGGTCCCACTAACCCGGGCAGGCCCAAGGGCAACTTCCGCCCAGGCTTCAGCCCGAGGGCTGTGACATCAATGCTGACATCACAGCTGACAGAATCCAACGGGCATGTGCCACGTGTCGCAACAGGGATGCTCCGATGGTTTTTTTTCCAGAAATCCAACGGTCCTCGTTTTTTTGGCAAAAAAAATCGAGAAAAGGAGTTCGTAGCAATTTTCAATGTATTTTTGTGATTTTTATTTAATTTGTTATGCATTGTTTAAGATAAAAACAAAAAATAACAAGAGAGGGACACGTGTCATAATCTGATTGGGCCAAATTTCTGAAAGCTGACGGTGATACCTAAGAAGCCGACATGTGTCAATCTCATCTATTTCATATTATTTCCCTATGATTTAACTTCTAAAATCCACAATAAATAAATTAAAATCAGAAAAATACAAGATAGAATCCCATTAAGTCATTGTGACATTGTCACCCTAAATCTCTAAAAATCTAATTTTGAATTTAAAAAAAGTAATAACAAAATTTAAACGTTTTTATTTATTTATTTATAACAATCCTATTTTAATTTTGCCCAAAAATTGTGGTACTTTAAAAAAGTGAAAAATAATGTGGGAGACAAATTGCGAGGAAATTAATTCCTCGTTAAAAAGCTTCTATTGAGAGAATTATATATTGTTTGTCGCTATAGGTTAGGAGGGAAATGTCAAAAATTCCCGCTAACACTTTCATTGAGGAAAAAACTATTTCCTCCTTAATAAATTGTGAAAATAATGTGGGAGACATATTGCAAGGAAATTAATTCCTCACTAAAATGCTTCTATTGCGAGGATTATATATTGTTGGTCGCTATAGATTTGGAGGGAATTGTCAAAAATTCTCACAACACTTTTTGTGAGGAAAAAATTATTTCCTTGTTAATAAACAGTGAAATTTTTTGGAAGATGTACAGTGAGAAAAGTAATTCCTCTTTAAAAGGATTATATTGCGAGGATTATATAATGTTTGTTGCTATAGGTTTGGAGGGAATTGTCAAAAATTCCCACTGCACTTTCCGCGAGGAAAACACTATTTCCTCGTTAATAAATGGTGAAAATATTTTCGGGGACATACTGCGAGGAAATTAATTCCTCGTTAAAAGGCTTCTATTGTGAGGATTATATAATGTTTGTCGCTATAGGTTTGGAGGGAATTGTCAAAAATTCCCGCTACACTTTCCGCGAGGAAAACAATAGTTCGTTGCTGTGACAATCTACCGCGTCCACATTGTTTATCGCTGCATCCAACATGTCGTCACTATAGCTTGGTCCAATTTGAAAACGAAATTCAAGTCACCTTTTGCAAGAATTTAACATTTTCCTCACTGAAAGGCTACTTCTACAAGGAAATATAATTCCTCGTTGACAAAATCGTTGCAAAAGCAACATTTTGTTGTAGTGTCACTTGGAATGTGTTGAAAAAAACACATGCAAGTTTCTGTTTTTTTTTACTTACCTTTATTGTAATAAACTTAAGGCAAGAAGAATTAATATCTTTCTTGCCTTTTCTAACTCCAGCCGGTTGTAGCTTTTCTTGACAAGACCCGCCACGAATCTCCTCGAAAACCGAGACGGACCCCGCCTAAATTCCGACATCACCCCGATGCCGGGCCCACTTACTAAAGACCGAGACTTTCTACCAAAAATTTGACAGAGTCTCCCCTGTAAAATGAACATTCCCAAACTTCAACATGTTCATAATTACAGTTATAAACAACCAACTGGCAGCATGCTTTACAAGCAATAAAACAATTTACAACAAAGGCCTCCGGCCTCAAGATTTATACCCTCAGCGGGCGATACAGAGCATATCTAAGAAATTCAAAAACAACAAAAGTACAGTTTAACTGAAAGGAAAATGTGAAGGAGTCCCTACGAAGACTCAAGTTTCGAGAGCACCCGGTCCGGCTCGACTGTGGAGC